TGGCTGCTAATGTACACTGTTTTGATGCTGATGTTGATGTAAATAACCACTTATACATCATATTAAATATGTACAAAAAATGGAGCCTTTATGAGCCCTGCATCAGCTCTTATTGAAAATAAAGTTTCTTTTTTTGTCTTTTGTCTGTAGCCCCTGAAAATCAAAGTACGAGAGGAGTATCTCACAGATATAGGTAAGAAAAGTAAAAGCTAGTTGAGTTGTTGGCTTACTCAATTTGTTTTGCATTTTTACAGAGACTTTTCTTAGCCTGACATTGCCAGGCCAAATTGCAAATTCCACTCAGTTAAACATCGATTTCCAAGAGGCTGTTATCAGTGGCCGTAGACCAAAATGTCTCTGGATGCAACTGGATCAACCTACAATCCCAATTAGAGCAACAAAGCATGACACAGTGTTGAGCAACAACGTTGACAGCTGTGAGCTGCGATGGTGTTGCATCAATATTTTTTTTAACGAGTATTACTGTTCTTGCCGTAAGAATTTGAAAATAGTGCTTCTACATAAAGTCCCACTTAAGCTGCTGCCGCCTCGGTCGTTCTTGGAAATGTCTCAATGGCAGTCCTCTTTGCTAAGCTAGGTTAATACTCACCGTCGTGTCTCCATGTGCATCGTGATCTCATCTCTTCTCGTCATGTTTTGACGGCAGAAGCCTCTTGCGTCATTTTAAAGGTGTCAGCAGTGATGGCCAAATGAGGCCTCATGAACCACTGTCTTTATTTTCTGAAGCCACCAGATGGCGCTGTCTGTTCAACAAAGGCTTGAAAACACACTTCATTGCAAGTCCTTCAGCCTTTATATTTAAACCAAGAGCGCCATCTGGTGGGGTCAGAAAATAAATAAAGTGTTTCATGAGGCTTCATTTGGCCATCACTAGGCGTCAGTGGCAGCCTTTTGCGTTGTATCTTGATGCAGAAGGGGCCAGCAGTGAGTCTCCTAAGTCAACTCACATGACAAAGAAGAGTTCAGAGTTAGGTTTAGGCAACAAAACTACTTGGTTAGGGTTAGGGAAAGATCATGGTTGATGTGACCAACGTCTGACTCGCGTGATTAGCAACTGATGTGACAAAATAACTAAATGTTGACAATGAGTTTCACATGGCACATTAACACTGGTTTCCTGGATCTGCTGGATGTTTGAGCCAAAAATGACGTCATCACATACTTTGCAGAAAGCGTGACGGCTCCGCAAGTCAGATAAACTATTGGCTTGGCTGGAAATCTGTTTGCACTGGAGGCGGACCAAACGCATCTGCCAGAGCAAATCAAAACTGAGCTTGCAGATTTGTCTGGTTCCCAGACTAGATCTTAATGTCTCACATGAGACAGAAAAAAAATGCTCAAAGCAAAGGTTGAGCCACATGGCTGTAACTGATTGAGTTTCCTCCTTGGGGATTAATAAAGTATATAAATTAAAATTAATGATTACATTAGTTTGTGATTAAGTACGCTAGCTGACATGATGCTGTATCCATCATCCCTTCAGAAAGTCGACTTCACGCCCAGGAGGACATCAGAGGACCTCTGTCTGAGCTGCAGCAGCAAGTGTTGCCAGACATCCAATACCAGATACAGGACTACAGGTACATTACTGAAGACTGACTCAAAATGTCTGTTAAGGCAGAATAATGACCAGTTGTGACATAAATACCATTTTCAAGAGCTCATATTAACCTGTTAAGCTTTCATAGGAACAAGCAGATGATGGGCCTGGGCTCTCTGTTTGGAGAAGGAGACCTACAGCAGCTGGATGGAGACCCGGTGAAAGAGAGACAGGTGGTGGACAGACAGGTCACCGCCCTCTGGGAAATACTGTGAGTCTATGACTGCTGTTGCGTCATCTGACAAAAATCAATCGGTTTTAAACAAAATTCGTCTCAGGATTTTACTTCAAACTCTGTAATTATACAGTGGTTTACTTCAACATGTGGCTGTAAGCATGAAGTGAATATTAACCTACACTCAGACTGTTGTATCAGGTTTGCCTAGCAACAGGGTCAGATGTTCGGGGCCCAATAAAATTGTTATTACAAAGCGACAGAAGGAGCTCACCCAGGCTATCATAACAAAGGTCATTACCACAGCCACAAAACCTGGAAACCACATGACAGTTCTGCCTTTGACTTTATACACACACGGGCCAATTCCCGTCACATGACTGCTGTACTACAGTCTGTTTCTTAGACCTGTGTTTGCACCTGAATGGACTGAATTCAGCTCTGAGGAATTAAACTGGATATCTCTTTGAAAGCCTCGTATTTGTTGTGTGGCGAGTTAACAGCCTTTTTATGTCTCTCTTTTTGTTCCCGCTCCAGATCGAAGCACGAAGAGGACAGAAGGTAAAAGACATGCCTTGTCTGTCAGTGAAATGTAATTTAACAGCAGTCTGTCTGAGCGATTTGCCTCTTTCTTGACACCTTTTCTTTGTGTTCCCCTGTGGTCTATTCTCATCACGTTTCCCCCTCCCCTCCATGTTTGTCCTGTCTCTTTCTCTGTCTCTCTCCGCCCCCTCGCTCGTCTCCCTCAGTTCTCCTCTGGCGTCAGCCGTGCATCTATACCTGCGTCATTCTGGAATCAAGCTAAGGGACTCCAAGGTCTTCCCTGGTCTGAGCACAGAGAAGGAGAAGTGGCTGGCTTTCCTAAAGACGAAAAAGGTAAGTGCCCTCCAGGAGGAACAAAGCAGGGATGGGAGGGAAGGGAAAGATGTCGCAAGTGATAATCTAAGAAATGTTGTCATGTTATGTTGAAACAACACTTCTACAAATGAAGTTGTGGTAAATGTACAAGGCAAGTTGTGAATGTACTTGCACATGTAAACAATGACATCTGTTTTCTTTTTAAAATATGCAAGAACATAATCTGCAGTATGATTTGTGTTTTAACTCTGTACTGTAATTGATCCTTCGCTAAGCCACGCCCCCTTGTGATGGTCGGGAATAAGCATAGAGCCCTCACTGTAACTAACTGCACTCCCTGAAGAAATATTATCTTTTTTTTTGGAAAAATGAAAGAGTGATTCCAGAGAGAAGCAGACAGAGGGGTCTACAGTGTGTGTTTGAAGTGAACCACCACATCACTGCTGATCGCCACAGAAGACAATGAATATAAAGGGGAATATTGCTGATATTGAACCAGCTGTGTGGCATCACAGTGTGTGCAGATGAACGGTGTTTGCTGCTACCAGCACCTCCGCCGCCAGACGGGCAGGGATCTCTGGTGGAAGTCAAACAATGTTCATCTGCACACACTGCGATGACACACAGCTGGTTGAATATCAGCAAAGTTTCCCTGCTTCCCTTCACTGGTTCCTGTACAGCTGGTTCCTGTACAGCAGGGTCGGTCCATTAAAAAGCAAAAGCAGCATGTGTATACATTCAGTAGGCTATATCTTCAGTAGCTAGCTAGCTAACCCTACACTTTTCAGGGTTTGATTTTGGTTTTGAAACAGGGAAGAAACGTATATCTTTTTCCAACCTCTCCAGGTAACGAGTATCATTAATACACGACTTGCCCCAGGCACAACATTTAGCTCCAAAGAGTCAGTGGAGCACAGCTGTGTTGATGTCGCACCCTGGTCTGAGTTGGCTCGGTGCTGCGTTATGATTGGACAGTCTGCGTCCTGGGGTGGGACTTAGCGAAGGGTCAATTACATTATAAGCAAAAGAAACAGTACAAAGGCCTTTGCACATCAAGTTCATGTTTTTTGTCGGAAATTGACCCTTAGCTAAGTCTCACCCCTCAAACGCAGAATGGCCAACCATAGTGTGGCATTCGCCAGCTTCGACAAGGGTCTGACAACTACATGGTCGTGCTCCATAGAAACTGATGCAGTGATTTCAGATTTTCTTCATTTTACAACTAGTTTGTAAATTTTGAGCTAAACGTTTTGTCTGGAGCACATGTAATAGTGATACTCGTTACCTGGAGAGGTTGGAAAGACCAACTAGCCAGTAGCTAGCCAGCTAACTACTGGCGAGAGCAGCATGTGCATACATTCAGTAAGCTATACTTTCAGTAGCTAGCTAGCTAGCTACTGAAAAACAGCAAAAACAGCATGTGCATACATTCAGTAAGCTTTATTTTCAGTAGTTAGCCAGTAGTTAGCTAGCTAGCTACTGGCAAAACAGCATGTGCATACATTCAGTAAGCTTTATTTTCAGTAGTTAGCCAGTAGTTAGCTAGCTAGCTACTGGCGAGAGCAGCGTGTGCATACATTCAGTAAGCTATACTTTCAGTAGCCAGCTAGCTAACTACTGGCAAAAACAGCATGTGCATACATTCAGTAAGCTTTATTTCCAGTAGTTAGCCAGTAGTTAGCTAGCTAGCTACTGGCTACTGAAAGTTAGCTAGCTACCTACTGGCTAGCTACCCTAAGTATAGCTCACCAGTAGTTAGCTAGCTTCTGAAAGTATAGCTTACTGAATGTATCCACATGCTGCTTTTGCTTTTTAATAATTAGAACACTAAATAAAGACCAGCCCTGCTTTACAGGAACAAGGAAGGGAAACACGGAGACTTAACGATATTCAACCAGCTGTGTGCCATTGCGGTGTGTGCAGATAAACGGTATAGAGTGTGCCAGTGCTGACGTCAAAACCCGGAAGTTTAGCATCGTGCTGGTTCCCAGAAGAGAAAGTGAATGTGATTTTTGCATTGCGTTTTGGATTATGCCAGAAAATAAGCTCTGTTGCTAACACAAGTTTATGATACTTACAGGTTTTGTTCAGCGAGATAATCTTCACATATGAACACCTTTCATATCGCATTTGAAGCTTAAATGCGATCGCCAGAAGTAAAAAGCTAACGTTGGGCTTTAAGACTCATGCAACCGTGGAGTAGTCCGTCTACATGACTACTCCACGGTCGCATGACTCTTGACCTCACGGCCACCAAGCTTTCAACTGATTTTGGCCGCTTTATTTTAAAACATTGTATAATGGGGAAATCGGACTGTTTATAGCTAAATAAGAAGCTGTAATGGCGGACTTCCAGCACTCTCGCCTGTTCGGGGGTGATGATGTTTAATGTCCCCGACAGGTTTTGTAGTCATATTTAGCAACTTGTTAGGAACTGCCTTTTTTATGACACGTAAAAGCTTCAAAATTCACAAGTAGGGTATTTACTGACGTGTTTTATGTCGTAGAACAAAACCTGAAACTCGCTTAAGCTTTTGTTAACCACAGACCTTATTTGAGGCATTTTACCAAAATCCCATTCAAAAAACATATTGACTTTTAGACAAGAGAACCGGAAGTGCTAAAAGCGCTAACGGAGTTCTGGGTTTACTGGCACACTCTATTTGGCTTCTCTGGAGTTCCCTGCCCATCCCTCCGGATTCACAGTGCATGCATCAGTCTGCATACCATATATTTTGTGTGAGGCTGCATGCATTGGACCGTGACCCCTGTACCGTGATATTTTGGCACGAATACAGAAACCGTTACAGCCTTAATAAACATTGATTATATAGACTTGTTCCTCTCTCCGCAGCTGAGTGGTACCAAGAAAGAGAAAGATGGAGAGGATAAAAAGAGAAATCCCATCCTGAAGTACATCGGCAAACCCCGGACCACATCCCAGTCCAGTAAATACAAACACACTCACACATAACATACATTGAACTGGGAAAGAAAATAAGGACATTAAATAAAAAGTAAATGATGCCTCAAGCCAGTGGCTTCATTAAAGGATAATCTTATAGCTCTGGAAATCATTATCATAACACCACATCTAAACATTCATTGTCAGATTGATTGAATGTGAGATTTTTAAGAATAGTTTATTCTTGTAATCTTCACGCTGGTGTCATGAGTACATCATCAGTATTTACAATGCAAATATGAGCCTGTTATCAGCTGACAGTATTGATACACTGGCACACCACATTAGAGGCACGCCAACACAAACATGTGATGCTCTCTGTCATTGTGTTTGTCAGACAATATTGATTTAGTTCCGCCCTCTGTTTGTTCTTTTATTGTTTCTGCAGGTTTATTTATTGATTTATAGAATTTTCATTGTGTCATGCTGTTGTGATTTCATCGTTTCTTTTTGGTTCATTTTGGTTTTGTAGCATTCCATGTCCCGTTGTCCCCCACCGAAGGTATATATTTTAAGTCATATCACGTTTTATTCTTTGGTTCAGTTTTGCTTTTTTAACAAACATACCCAATAGAGTTTATTTTTTCTTTATGGAATGTATTAAGTTTAAAGATTTCTTGTGTTCCACCTCATTTTATACACTTCAACCCTGTCATGTGGACTGTTTTATCACACTGTGCGATATCTGTGTGTGCAGTCCGCCCTGGCAGTGTGAGGAACATCATTCAGCAGTTTGAGAATCACACAGAGACAGGAGAGGAGGGAGGGGACGCTGCCGACCCCCAGAGGCTCTCCACCAGCAGCCTGGGAGAAGACAGCATGGACAGGTAGATCTCTTAAACTACATCATCACCTGTGGTAGAGGTGGGAAATGTATCAGATGTGTCAGATATACTCACATTTTACTTTAGATGCAGTATGGCAGATGACTGTATCGTCATATTGAGATACTCCTCGCAAATTTTAGTAACCAGTAGTAAGTAACCCACCAATTTGACGTCATTGACATCACATTAATTCTGGTTCACACTACACGACATTCAGGTCTCAAAGGTTTAACATATTGCACCCGTTATTCCCAAAGTTGTATGAAAACGTGTGACCATTTTCCATCATTCAAATCTCCATTGTCACATCTATCCAGTCATTTATTGTAGGACCAGCGTGCATCATCCATTTTCTGGTCAGGGCCCTTTTCCCTGCTGCCAGCAATATACCCATTAAGTATTTGCCAGTACCTTTTACTGGAAATGTGAATTTTAAATGTGTAAATAATTAGTCAGACGTAATGATAAAGAATACATTTACAAAGACCAGTCTGACGAGTGTTTCTCAGATAATATCAGGACTTTCTGATGTGGAATTTAGAAATTAAAGCTCTCTAAATTGTCATGTACGAGCTGTGTTACCTCTAAATTCAGGTAAGTTTACTGGAGTGATTACACTGGTATTGTCATGTATGAGTCAGAGAATTAAATCAAACATGTTATTGTAGAGTAAATGGGAAAATATTGAAACCTTTGAAATATATTGTGGCAATATTCAGCATCAGCCTATAGCACAGCAACATATTGAAAGTGTTTGATAATCTGTTTTCTCTACGCTCTCGCTTGCAGCCCCACGATCTCCGTGCGTCTGGCACGCAGCGAGTCGTTGAAGGCTCAGGGAGAAGGCCGCCGGCGGGGCGTCGTCTCAGGGACGGATTCTGTCCCTCGCTCTCGTAGCGATGTGGACATGGAGGACTGTGGGGAGGAGAGGGAAGGGCCAGGCCTCAGGCCGCTGCAGCACAGCACGTCATCATCTGCATCCAGCAGCTCTGCACGGTAAAGATTCACAAATCCGGACTCCTTTGGGTGTTCTCACACAGATGCTTTTATTACTTTTGGTGTCGTCTGGAATTTCTTAGAGATGATACTGAGATACTTTAGGCAGGGATAAAATAATCACATAAGCTTCAGAGAATCAACAGTCACCCCTTTATCTCAAACACCCGGGACTCTACCCCTGGAAGTGCAGCTTTTCACCTCATGGCATCTCTCTCTCCACTCTCTCTCAAACTCAGGTCTCTAGAGAACCCTACACCCCCATACACCCCTCGGTCTAGACGCAGGTGAGTTTCAGTGTCATCCCCATAGATGATCAGTGATTTAAGTTCCTGTCTGGCAGGGAATAAGAAATAAAGATGGCTGACTTCTTTCCAACATACAAAACTCTCAGCATCTTTTAGTTTCAAGTCTCCCCGTAGTGTTAGATTTGTTCTGTAGCAGCCATGTTAGTAAGAAAAGTGTTTGTTTTCCTCTTTGTCTGTCCATACACATGTTGGCCCACCTCCCATGTTAATGTGTGTGCGTGACTCTGTAGGAGTGTGGACTCACCGCTGGCCCTGCTGCCCGATGCTGCGGCGCTGGAGGAGGAGGTGTGCGATGGTCAGAACTGGCAGGACACCGTTTCCCCGCAGCTCCTTGCCACACTCAGTCCGAGGGAGGTGGACAGACAGGCTGTCATATATGGTAGGAGTCAAATTCTGCACACGCGTTAACAGCAAACAGTGGAAAATATAGCTTCAACAGTGGTGAATTGGGGCTGGGCATCTTGGGGGGAGAAGAAGAAGGACGAAGAGGAGTAAGACAACGTTATTTTAGAAATCACGTGTCTCTAATCTACACAGCACAATGCCTGAGTAGGTGTCATTATCCCAAGCTCAGACTCACAACTTTAGACACCAAAGGTCATGATCTTGTTGAGCCACCTGCCAAGTGAGAAACTGTAGATCGGCTTCACAGTATAACTTTGGCACCAGAGTTGATTGTAAGGGCAGATTTCAAATAAGTGTTAAAAAAAAAAAATAAAAAATCAGTTTACAAAACACAGAAGAGAATTTTTGTACTTTATCTACACAGCATAGAGGTGTATGTCATTTATTTCCACAAAGATCCATAAATGACAAACTGATGTTTAAAGATGCTCTTATTTCCGTTGACTTCTATAGTTAACATGACGATAGAATTCAGAATTTGCAGTAGGTATTTACAGTACTGTTTCCTATCATCTCATTCACAATAATACCGGTGTAACTTTTAAAATCACATAAAAACTTCATATTGTGATACTCAAGATATTTGGACTTGTTGACAATGACGTCATACTGTTACCCATGGCAACAACAAGCATGGCTGAAAGCCAACTTATTACAGACTCCGCGATGGTTCCAAAAAGAACAGCAGCTTCAGTAGTGTGGAATAAACTGTGGCGTCCTGAATGTTTTATGAACAGCCCCGGACTTCTCAGACTCTTTTGGCGACTTACCGCTCAGAGGGAACTCAGTCAGCTGCTCCTCTGGCAGCAGCATAGCGTCTCTCCCTCTCCTCTCTCACTGTGCGCACACAGGAGTTGAGTGATTTGTCATAAGCCTTTGGTGATGTAAACCTACATGACGCTCGTGGCTCCACAAAAACACTCCATACATGTGAATGTGTGATAGTTGTGGTATCATAACAGCCTGTCACAGGTTACAATGTGATGAGTAGAGGAGAAATGGCAGAGCATAAAGGTCCAGGTGGAAAAAAAACAACTAATAAAATTTTCAGGATTTTATTAAAAGAAGGAAATCACCTGTTGATTTCTATATACAGATCCCAGGGGACATTTTTTGTATTTGGGAGCTGTTTAAATGTGTGGTAGATTTTATTTTGTCTAACTATTGTTTATAGAATCTGAATCTCACTCTGAGTTACTGTTGTTGTTCACAAACTAAAGAAATGAGAGATCATTTACTCGTTAAGTTTTTACTGAATATTTCAAGGCAAACTGTAAAACTATATCACTTATTTTGTTGCACTTCTATTTTCTTAAATTGATAGTACTTTTTTTTTTTTAACTAATTTGCCATATCATCAAGAATATGGATATCGCAACATACCCCGAAATACCATGATATTATCTTAGGACTATATCACTCTTAATGCGCTCTGGCTGGATTTTTTGTGGAAGACCATCTGAAGAGGCAGTGTAGGCAATCAGGTGTCAGTAGAGCAAAAAATGAGGGACGAGTTATGTTTAGTTATTTTTACAGTTTCTGAAGAAAAAACAAGAGCGATGGACTTAATGATTCCTGCCAGGCCCAAGTGTATGAACATTTCTGCTCAGCCAGGGCTACATTTTGGTGGAAGTTGCAGAGTCGCAGCACATACCACTGATTTATCAGTTTTTTAAAGTTTTAATCCTGAGACGGTTGCTGTAGCGCCACTGTCATGACTATTTATCAGTCATTTCAAGTAAGAGTGTCGTTACACTTTTACGCTGATGACACCCAAATCTACCTGTCCTTTCAGCCAGCTAATGTTAACTGTTTGAGCACTCTGATTGAGAGCTTCACTGCTATTAAGAAATGGATGACTTGTAAATTTCTGCAGCTAAAATTTAGACAGGACACAAGTAATTATCTTTTGGCCCTGAGCCTTTATTGGTCCTCTGGCAACTAATATGAAATCTACAACGAGAAATTTAGGCATCACTTTTGATATGTGTCATACATGTTTTAAGAGGATAGCTTGCAGTACACTAGGGTTGATTACCACTCCCTGTTTCCTCCTCTCTTCTCTTCATCATCAGAGCTATTCACCACTGAGGTGTCCCACCTGCGGACCTTGAGGGTCCTGGACCAGGTATTTTTCCAGAAGATGAGGTCTGTGCTGAACTCCGATGAGCTGGCCTGCATCTTCCCCAACCTGCCCCAAGTCTATGAACTCCACGGTCAGTCTGTGTGTGTGTGTGTGTGATCATGATCATTTCCAGGTCTCTTTTAGACTGCACATACAGTATTTGTATTTGCTGTAATTACAGATACAAGTATAATTTTTTTGGCTGTGGATTAATGTGAAGTTGTTTCCATGGTCAAGACCATTCTAGGTTATTTTCAAAACGAACTTAAAGAGTGAGCATTTGGGGAAATTAGGGACGTTTCCTGTGTGTGACTTTGTCCTCTTGTAACAGTGTCACTGCTTTCTGCTCTTTCTGTTTGCACAAAAAGGGTGATGTACTGTGAGTCAACATGTATGCAGGGCTGTATGTCGCTAGGTAAATAATAATAAGTGAAGCAAATACTAAGAGAAGGTCGTGACTGTTACGTGTAATATGAGCCTGCAGCTTTACTGAGTCAATATGTATTCTGGGCTTTAATAAAGAGCCAACACGAGAATATATGGTATGTTATTATTGCTTTACTAGACTAGGACAATTTTTTGTGTTTTTATGTCTTTAAGGTATGAATTTTTTTTTACTGGTACTATTTGAAATAATGTAACTGATGACCACAGACGTTGAGGTTCTTTTAATGTCAGTCTTAATGTTGCATTTATGTTGCTCCTTTGCAGCAAGTCTGTGCGAAGCGATGAAGAAGCGAAGAGAAACTCCCATCGTTCAGGACATCGGGGACGTTATGCTGGCCAGGGTGAGTGAACTAATCACTGCCATCACTTCCATGTTCTTTCACATTACAAGAGGAATGAGGTATTTATGTGCATACGTGTATATTTGGTATGTTAACAGCGGTGTGTGTGTTTGCAGTTCGAAGGTGCAGCCGGAGACGAGTTTCAGGAACACGCGTCGCAGCTGTGCAGCCAGCAGTCTCAGGCCGTGGAGCTGATTAAGAACAAAAAGCGTAAAGACCCTCGCTTCGCTCACATTATCCAGGTATGCACACACACTTCTGTTCCTAACACACAAACGTCTGCTCAACACAGGCATGCTCCTGTGGAGACATCACTTACACAAGTAATTTCTGTCGTCAGTGTAGGAGTGAGGACTTTATAGTTTTATGTAGGTGGTTATTATAGGTCTAGTTTTGTCATCATCACAACAGGCATATGCAAGTTTTTTGCTTTAACTTATAATTAGGGATGCACTGATTCATTGGCTGAACATCGGTATCGACTGATATCAGGCTATCGACAAATGGATGATATCCACCAATGGCAGTGGCCGATGTCACAACAATTTTGCTTGGGATGAACATATATCTTCCCCAGGACACATTCAGGATAAAACGACGCAATGGCCAAGTGGCCATTCAAAGAAATACAGTTTTCCGTACTTACGTGTTCGCTTCATTTTCCAGCCCAGGAGGTTGCCACTTGGTTGGAATTGGCTTGAGGAGAGCTAGTTAATGTTAGCAGGTAGCAGCCAGTGGCCGAAACTAATAGCTAACAGAGTTGCATTGAGTTATATCATGATGCGTTCAAGCTCTATTCTTCAAATATGACTATTGGGTTGAAGGTATATTATAATGTCCTCATGATGTGTTCAATTGTAATTTTGGAGATAAACTTGAATAAATGCAGCTGGTTGAAGGAGAAGTTAGTTGATGTCTTCACAGCAATGTATAATACGTATTGAAGAGGGAATTATACATGTGTTGTGAACGGCTTTAGATGCAGTGTTTTTTTTTTATGGGAAAATCAATACTGCATAGTATCGTGTTATTGTATCAAGTAGATGACAAGTATCGATCTTTTTAACATAAGTCATTTTTGCAAATACACATTTTAATAGAACTTTTGGTACTAGAATGATAAAATCAGTTGCTTTTTCAGTCCACTAGATGGTGCTGATGTTTTTGTTTTGCCTGGTGAGGTCAGCAGAGGACCCAGTCAGCAGCATTTGGCAGGAAGTTTATCAAAACAAACATGGAGGCACTGGAGAAAGAAATCAGAAACGCGCCATCTGTGTTTGAATCAAACGTCTGGACTTATTTGGGATTTTTTTTAATACAGAAGGAAAGAAAAGAAGGACTTGGATATAACACATGCAGTTTGCAAGCTGTGTTATAGGAGATTAAAATACTCTGAGAGCGGGTGCCCCATGCACAGAGGCTGCAAGTTCAATTCCAGCTTGTGGCTCTTTGCTGCATGTCATCCCCCCTCTCTCCCCCCTTGACGCTGTGTGAACTGTCCTGTCATTAAAGCCCAAAAAATAATCTTAAAAAAAAGATTGTATCATAAATATGTAAGAGTGACTTTTTAGACTGTAGTTGGTATTGGTTTTTATGTCACCGTGTCTATGATTCACCATGTAGATTAAAAGACAAAGAACGATCTGCAGAATTTACACACGTGTGCTCTAATGCGTGTTTGACATTTGTTCAGGAGTGCGAAGCGAGTCCTCACTGTCGGAGGCTGCAGCTCAAAGACCTGCTGGTGTCAGAGATGCAGAGACTTACTAAGTACCCCCTGCTGCTGGACAACATCATTAAACACACAGAGGGTGAGAAATCAAGAGACATGTTGTAAAAGAACAGGAAAACCAAATGCCAAGAAAGTGCGATTTTTAATATTCTTGTTTTTTCGTTAAGCTGGTTCGTCAGACCTCCCCTCACTTCAGCGCGCCCAGGCTTGTTGCCGAGGGATACTGCAGGTCGTTAACGAGGTTGTCGGTGAAACGGAACAACGGCAACGCCTCAGCCAATACCAACGCAGGCTGGACGCTGCCCCTGTATTCAAGGTAGTTGAAGTTTTCTTCTGGTTTACATTGTTCATATTGCGATGACCAAAATTTGTATGCTTACTTTTGTCTCTCACAGAGTCTGGACCTCACCACCAAGAGAATGATTCATGAAGGTCCTCTGACGTGGAAAGTCAGCAAAGACAAGCAGATCGGTCAGTACTTCTGTGTAAATACATACAGTCTCATCGGTTTGGTTTCATACCTCTTAATTGCATGTCTCCGTATCCCTCCATCAGAGATTCAAGCGCTGCTGCTGTCAGACTGCCTGGTCCTTCTACAGAGGGGCCCAGACGACCGGCTACAGCTAAAGTATCCATCCCGCTGGCTGGGTGGAGGCAGCGGAGACAGCAAGACCTCCTTCAGCCCTCTTGTCAAGCTGGACTCTCTGCTGGTCCGCTCGGTGGCTACAGGTAGGACTGTGCAGCACTTAATTTCTCTCCTGCTTGTCCGGTGATCAAATGTGCATCTAATGTTGTGATTTCTCTCCAGACAACAGAGCCCTCTACATCATCAGCACCACAGAGAGGCAGATCTATGAGCTGGTGGCTGGGACGTCATCAGAGAAAAACACGTAAGGTCTTTTCTATAACTGGTAGGAAGACTCACCGAGCATCCATGCTCTTCTTCAGCCTCCAGAAACTTGTGTTTTTGTTTTTCAGCTGGAAAGATTCACTTGAAAAGACCATCTCATCAGCTGGCGGTTCGTCACCCCTGATCAATCACGGATCCATGCCTTTATCGTGAGTAAATCTTGTGTCTATAAATAATAACCACAGTGACGTGTTAGGAATCCTTTGCCAGAAGGTTACTCTAAAGACACTTGTCTTATTCTGTTGGATGTAGGGTTGGTTATTGGCTCTGGAATCCTGTAAGGTATTCACCACAATAACCCAAGTAGTATCAAAATGTCTCCAGTCAAACAATACCTACATTTCATCCTCTTTGCGCCAGGGCTTTATCTGGGACCATCCCGACTCTTTGCTGGATTAGCAAAATTTCTATTGCTGCTGTCTCCAGAGCTTCTCTCCTCTCAGTGATCAGTCAGTTAGCACAAGCTTACATAGCAGCAGTGGCTAACATCTGACTCCAGGCCACTCAGCAGTCACAATAAACTGGACTGTGTCGTTAAACCTGTTAATAGCCATTAGGTGATGTTAGCTGTGTGATGAACAGTGAACAGTCAGCCTTCTCACTTTAGCCCTGCTTCCAAACACTTTCGGTGTGGTACCTTTGGATCAAAAGTAACCCTTCAGACATGGTACCTAGACCCTAGGGTTTCCACCGCAAACAGTACCCTTAAATGTGTGCAGGGTTGTTGTCACTCATTGCTCCATCCAGTACTCACTGTATTTCCTCCTTTATCAGTTTGCACCTCCTTTATCGTCCACAGAACGAGGCTGCACGCCAACATTTTCAGAACAAAATAAAACAGGCTGCAGTGAGAGTCTCTCTCCATGGGATATTTAAAAATAGCAGATTTGTGCATTTAGTCCTTCTCAGGCAAGCTCAGGGTTTTAGTGTTGCCGGAGCCCACAGGAAGAACGGCCCACAATGCTTTTTTTTTCCTCCAAGTGAGGATTGGGATATAATCCCTTCGAAATTAATACATATTTTTAAACACTTGAAGATCCACTCATTACTAAAAATGTATGTCATATAAAAACTAAAGTGATGGTCAAAGTTGTCACAATGACATTTAAGGTTTGCTGATGGATTCACGCCGTTAACTCATGCACTGAGTAACTTTACAAGTAAACATTCCACCTTAAAAGACGGCAGTCGGCCCAAGGAATCAAGTTATTTTTCCTCAGACTCCAGCTGCTGTGAGAGGCAGCAAAACATCCTTTCATTTTATTGTTACAGTGGACTCTTAACTGTCCCTGGCAAAGAGCTTACACTCCCGCAGCATTAGTTACAACCCATATAATAGGTGGTGTGGTAAGGTCGAGTGCGGGGTAGTTGACAGAGTGAGCACTTGTGCTGAGTGCTGAGATGCCACTAAAACGTTCTAAAGTATGGCTTTACTACCCTCCATTAACATTATGGGTAACTTTTAGGGTACTGGTATTTTAATTTTTTAAAATATACCCGAGCCTTAATTAGATATTTTCATTTTCTCATGTACTTCTCTCTATGCATTTATTCTCACCACCGTGCGTATGTTTTCAGTAGTTCCCCCAGTCTGCGCAGTGCATCCCCAGTGTCAACTGGCAGCAATGTCTATGCAGGTAATAACCACATTATAAACATCAGCTCTTAATATGTAAACTGCCTGCAAATATTTCTGATACAAAATAGATCTTTTTGGCTCAAGTCATTAAACAAAACCTCTGATTCCAGACAACTCCATGACGGAGCAGTCAGATTCCATGGAGCCTCATTCCTCCAACGACGACATAGAGCTCTCAGCAAACACACCTACGGACCAATCAGGAGCTTTCCTCTGTGGGGAGAGAAAACCAGTTGGTGTGGCAGAGGCCGCTTTACGAGACGGTGAGACATCAAACACATTTGTGTCACTTCTGCAAAGTGTTGGAGGTTAAAGTTATTTAGTGTTTTGAATTTGATGGTTAACATGTAATCATCATATTGATCTTCATGGGTTAATAACCTGTAGTGTAACAGGTGTAATTTAAGCCTTTTTTTTTTTTTTTGTTTTTTTTTGTTTGGTTGCCCATAGGGCTCCCCCTGACGAAGAATTTTCCTAGTCAACCACTAGTCGTCATTTAGGGCCATTAGTCGACTAGGTGCCCACATGTTTACGATATTAATTTGATTATTAAATTATATATTTTGGTGGTTTGAGTTGAAGGTGTGAGAAAGAATAGTATCAGTAACATTGTTAACACTGTGCTACATTACAGAGAAATACAAAACCGTACTAATGAACCTTCATTAATATAGGCCTATATTTTATCTACAAGTGCACGTCACACACTGAGCAAGCCGCCTGTTAATGACGCTGTGGGCAAAGCAGTAATGATTGTGCTAAGTGGCTAATGGGCATGTAGCTACTTCCATGTTTCAGATGATACGTCATGTTTGTAGTCGACCAATGAAGATGAGTTTACATATCACCTTGGGTTCGTCCTTCACCTTCTCAAAATGATCCCACACTTTGGATTTCCTGCCCGACATGTTATTAACTAGCCTGTGGAATAACCGCAGGTACCAGCCCTGGAAATTAGGGGCCGTACACATGCTGCGTCTTTAACCACCTGGAAAATGTGAGGTCGGGCGCTGTGTGCTACTATTGTGCCTTTTTTGTGCCAGCTTTCAAGAGCGTGGCAGCAGGTTGCGTCTTAGATCTCATGAACGTCTTGAGGAAACTTCCGCAAATTTGGCACAAATGTCCATTCGGACTTAACAATGAACTGGTTAGAATTTGGTGGTCAAAGGTCAAATGTCAAGATTACTGTGACCTCACAAAACATGTTTTGGACATTATTTGGAAACTTTGGCATAATTAATGTATGAATTCTTGAGTTTTGTCCAAAAATCTCAAGAATTCATACATTATTATAACAAATGTGTCATATAACATAAAAAAATCAAGTAATGACATTTTATATATCCAAAAAGTGAAAGGTCATCTTCACTGTGACATCATGAACTGCAAAAACACTTTTCTGCCCATTACTCAACGTCATATCTCAGGAACAATTGATCAGATACTGGATTGTTGACACTAATCTTGGGTGTCCACATTTGAACTGTGTATCGATCTTCTGTGTGTGAAGCATCCATGTTTATACAGACATGAATGTAACTGCAAGTGCAGCTTGACTGGTGCGCGGAGGCATACAACCACAAGGCGATAATTGTAGTTTGTCCTTTTTTTGTTTATTTATTCATGTTGTTGTTTTCTTGCCTCTACAGTTGAAACACTAAGGCAGCTCATATTACAAGATTTGGAAGAGGACGGTTGGAGCCATGACTCAGACGACACGCCCACCAACGAGACGGCAAACGTAAGGAGCTCGTTCACTGAGAGACAGCGGCCAGAGTCTCTGGAGACCGTCCTCAACTTCAGCACCAACGAATGGGAGGCAGAGCCTGAAGAGGTCCCGCCCCCAGAAGCAGAGCAACCCAGCATTCAGGTCGTACGGAAAGGTAACGGATCAGAGGGAGGAAACTTTTCTGAGATGATCATCTTAAATTCTTCGGCAGTGCTGGCTGAGCACTCTGAGTTCATTCAATTCTCAGATAATTACAAATTAAAAGACCTAATTTGGCGTTGACTGAACCGAAAGTGAATTCAGCTGACTGCTTTCCGTCTGTTTTTTGGATAAAATCTTGGTGGCAGCCTTCCTCTGCATGTTTTCTCTGCACTCTGTGATTCATTATTTTGTTTCTCACACACTTTATCTTCTCATTGTCTTTTTGTCTGCCTGCTTTTCACAACACACTGATCTTACACTTGGCTCCTACATCGACATCTATCCTCACTCCTTTTCACTCTTCTTTCCTTCACACACAAACACTTCCACACGTCTATCCTCTGTGCTATAGCTGTGGTTGCGGGTCCTTCTTCTTCTTCCTCTGTCCCTGACGACATCACTGCTGATGTCACCCTCCCCTCCGACCAGTCGTCCAAGCCGAGAGGCGAGGCCACTACGCAGGGTAATGATGAATAAACTGGTGCTGTGCATCCTTTCATCTACATGTGTATTTTTCCATGTATAATATTCATCAAGATAATAGATAAAGAACATAATCTGCAATCTTAGAGTTGGTGTTGATTTTGCCCTAAAATGACTCACCCCCACACTTTCTGCACTCTAGGGAACACTTTCTACTTGGTAATGCCTACAGAGCAGGGAGAGACCACCACTGATGACCTCAATGACCCTCCTACCCCCACCGCCAGCCACTTCCCGCAGCCTCTGGAGGAAGTGATATCACCACAGACGCAGCCAGAGGAGGAAACGCCCGCCTGTGGTCCAGAGTCCAGTCAATCAGAGGCTATGCAACCGGAACAGGAAGAGGAAATGGGCCAATCACAGGCTGGGCACCAGAGCCACGTGATCAAAAATGTAGATGAGATTTTCCTCACGATTGAAGGGTTAACGAGCAAGTTGCGGCAGCTGAAGGTGAGTTTTTGTTACCTTGTTAACCTTGTTGTGAGCAGTTTCATGTCGGAACTATTTTCTTTCTACCAAAACTGTGACACCGCTCAGAAGCCAAGATACTCGTGCTCATGTCAGCACACAAAAACATTAATGTCGTCTTTATCTGATGAGCTGTTACTTAAGCTAGTTCAGTAGTGCTAGATCAGCTAGTAGTAGCCTTCCTTCTGCGCTGTACATATGTGTTAAATTTTTAAAAAACGAAGCTAACAGCAAGGATCAGTAGTGATGGCCAAATGAAGCTTCACGAACCACTTTCTTTATTTTCTGACCCCACCAGATGGCGCTCTTGGTTTAAAGATAAAGGCTAAAGGGCTTGCAATGAAGTGTGCTTTCGAACCTTTGTTGAACAGACAGCGCCATCTGGTGGCTTCAGAAAATAAAGACAGCAGGTACATGAGGCCTCATTCAGCCATCACTAGGATCAGCTTTCATGGAAGGGAAGCTAACACTGCAGCCTTAGAGTGGACTGTAACTAATGCAGCATTTATCATCGAGTCATAAATAAATGAGTGTGTGTGTAGAATAACACTTGAATGTTTCTTTTTTTTCAAATGGATTATACTACAGGGTATGTCTGTTTTTCTGTTGTGACACCACTGATGCCTTCATGGTGTAGAGGTTTTGTCCATTCTATTAAAACAACAACAACGACAACAAGCAACAAACTGGCTCAAACATTTCTAAGCAGCAGGATATTATCGTATTTAACCCACTACGTTTACAACAGGATGAGGACGAGGGATCTGTGTGATTACTTGATTAGTTGATTAAACGTTTCTACCCTCGCTAGTCGTTGACAGAATTACTAGTTGGTAAGCTTATTATTAAGATATCAAGAGGGAAACGGGTGAGATTGGATCAGTATGCAAAACTAACCGGCGGTTCTGATCATCAGCTGCTCTCCCTCGCAGTCTCTTTCTCTTTTACACACACGCACAAACTCACATGCGGCTCTCTGAATCAATATATGGAACCGCGTGTGAGTGACTGGTACAAACGGACATTGTTCCAGGAAGTATGTCTGAGCCTCACACACGCTCACGCCTGCTCCATGTTTTCTTACTAGGTTAAACGAGAGAGGGGCTTCAGCACATCCAATTCATCAAAACATTGTTTTCTAGTTGGAGCCGCGCCTCGTTTTCAAACTGTATGGTTTGACTAAAATGGACAATGACAGCAATATAGTCCACGATGACCAGCGCTAAAATCAACCTGCGTAGTTGTCCCTCCATTGTGACATTAGAAAGTGTCACATTATCTTGCAAGTGTACTCTTCTTCAGCGTGTTGTTTACTTCCTGGATTTTTCCCGCATGGAAATTCTGACCAATCAAGAGCAGCTTTCTCACACAAGGTATTTGATCTGGTCCGCTTGTAAATGCTGCCATGAGAACACGAACCAACTCTAGGCAATTATGCAACTTTGGAACAAAATTAGTCCCTGATTCAGACCAATTCAAGACAACTCTAGGTCTGAAAGCACCTCCATAATATACGCAGCAATTTTTCGGATAATTTTTTTAAGCGTCTTTTATTTTTAATTTTTTGACTAGTTGACTAGTCTAAGTTTAAAGTCCCCCTTTCTCCTCTCACCTTTTAGTGTAATTACACTCATTGTTCTACCTGTGTAATTTTCTGCATCTTCACCCCTTTACAGGAAATAGAAAAGTCCCATCACAAGCTTTTGAAAACCCTCAGAGAGCCTTTTGTCAATCAGGAGTCAGAGGACCAACGGTGTCACTCGGCAACCGTCTCTAGAACACCGTCTTTGGATCGTGGCTCAGGAGACGGTGAGGGGGACTGAATTTGCATCTCAAACCTTAAAACAATGGCTGATGATTCAGTTTACTTTTTACACCAAATAATATCTCCCTTTTTTCTTGAACCCAACCAGGCAAAGAGGGAAGTCCAGCAGAACCCAAGATTCAGTCGACTGGATTCTGACATCTGGATTTACTCGCAGTCACTCAATGTTGATTGTTGGCTTACGGACGCACATGTATGTACCCACAGTCAGACTCGGGCACCTCAGCCCTGCCTCCCCTCGCCCCTCGTCCCTGCATGCACTGGCCAGTAGAACAGAACCCAGGACGGACCGTAGCTGTTTTTTTTTTGTTTGTTTGTTTGCTTCCTGTTGCCCTGGGAACAGGAGCTGGCCGGATTCACCAGGATTTCTGAGGTCAGAGCAACTTCTGACTTCTACCAGAGTACGAGGGAGTCCAGGACAGAGTGAGGAAAAAGTATGAAGGAAGAAAAAGGCAGAAGACAAGTTGGCTGACAAAGAGAAAAGGAAAAAGTAGGAAGAACTGAAAGTTGGAAAGAAAATAACCAAGCTGGATATTTGTGAAGGAAAAGGAGTCGTACGTCGAGTTGCTTTAAAGAGCTGGTTGAAAAGACGGAGCAGAAAAGTGTTGAAATGTTAATTTAAGGAATAATCCGAGGGACCCATCACCCCTGCACTTTACCCACAATGCATCCCTCTGTCGTGTACGTCCTCTCTGTAGTGGACGGATCAGGGACTGGAGATGCCACTGGCTTTATTTAGGGGCCGACGTTATGAGCCAAGATGGCCTCCGGGGGTCCCCGCCCCACCTCCACTGGTTGCTTTACACTGAGTTCACCTGCCACCACGGCCGAAGGACTGTGTCTATATAATTCAGGTTATTTGCACTGGGTAAGGAAACCAATATCACACACACACACACACATCATTTAACTGCATCATTCATCTCAGACCTTCATATCCCTTTCACACCAGGAGAAACACTATTGTCATTGGGAACAGTTGCAGCCACACTGACATATCCTTAAGTTCTCCTTTAAGCGGCTGTTTGGAACCATTAGTGCGACTTATTGATCATTACATGGTTCATATTGATTGTTCATTTTTTCGTTCCGGAAACACTACTGCGCTGTTTACTACTGAAATGCTGGCAGGTTTTATTTTCAGCGCTGCTTCAGAGGCATACAGGGATTTCAGCGATTTAAAAAAAAAAACAAAACAAAACACAAAGCTCAGTGGATTCACACAGCTGTTCTTATCATGTAAAGTTGTTTAGGTTTAAGTTTGGGAGATTTAGGATATTTTGGGGGCGAGGTTCAAGACAGGCAATGTTGACGACGAGTGTGAGGAAAGAGGACAACTACAGATTCAAACTGAGAAACTTGAATTTTCACTGCAAACCTGTTTGTCACTCAACGAAACTGCTGCCAAATATCGCCGCTGACATTGCCTGTCGACACTTTAAGATACGACTCTCTAGCTTTCTCTCCAGCGTATAGTGTGCGTGTCCATATCGCGGTGAATACTGTGAACCAGCAACTTCTCCTTTCCAGCAGTTATACCACACATATTGTTCATATGTAGCCTACATCCAAAGCCATGAAAGGACTGCGCTCTTCACCAAGTAGCTTTACAGTGAGAGATCCACCACAGAGAACAACTTGTATTTATTGGGAGGAATAAAAAGCTTTGTAAAATTACATTTTACAAACTCAAGCACATGGTCCAAGACAAAAAACAAAAAACAGTACTGTATATGCAACTAGATTAAGGAAATATTAATTTAAAGGAAGAGTTTGACATTTTTGGAAACCACTTTTATATCTGTTTGGTAAATGTCAGAGTTCCCATGTTCATTAAATTTCTGGAAAAGTTATAAAATTAGAAAAACTTTTTTGAAAAATTTTGAATATACATTTTTTTTAGCTATTGTTTAACATATGTTCATAAAAATCCCAAAACGTATAACATTATGCTCCTTTTAATACTTATTTAAAATCTAGTGCTGCACTGCGTGATCCTTAAAAGGTCAAGTGTCACGTGATACACATAGATCGCATCGGCATCATGTCATTGCCACGCCGGTGCCCAACATTGGGGAACGGAAACACACTGTCACATCAGGAGGGAAACAGGAAGATGCTGAAAAGCTTTTCTTTACCGGGTTAACCAAAGCGTTCACACTGAGATTTGAGATGCATAAGGTAGCTGAATATTCACTGCCAGTGTGGTAAATCTGTAAATGATGCTGGTGACAGTCACTACTGACGGATAGCTAACGTTAGCTTGAGCGGGAGGCTGCTGCAGTACAGTCATACAGTATAGCCGCATCCGACTGTGGTCCCCAACTAAATCTCAGCTGTCGATCAAACAGTTGGCTGTTAACAGGTTGGTTATTTACACGCAACACGTAGCCTAACGATTCTTCATGATTCAGTCAAACAGATATATGTATAGATGTCCAGATCAGCAAATTCCAGCCAGTGTGTTGGATCATTGATCCACTTGGACGGGGGAGAACTGAAGGGACATGATGGCCGTCAGCCTTAATTAATTAAGGTATCATGTACGCTCAGATTTAGGCAAAGTCACAAACTATATTGTCAAAATTATAATCCATACATGTCAAATTGCATTCACATCCATATGATCTTTGGTTTTATATCCCTAAAAAAGGGGCGCTTGCTTTGTACCTTTATGTAGTGATGGCCAAGTGAGGCCTTATGAACTACTGTCTTTGTTTTCCGAAGCCACCAGATGGCGCTGTCTGTTCAACAAAGGTTTGAAAGCACATTTCATTGCAAGTCCTTCAGTCTTTATCTTTAAACCAAGAACGCCATCTGGTGGGGTCAGAAAATAAAGAAATTGGTTCATGAGGCTTCATTTGGCCATCACTACCTGTATGTGCTGATCTGATCTGTTGGCATATGCAGGTGGTTGGAAGGAGAAATATCTAACGAGCTAGTAAAGTTAGCAAGTGCTAGGATAGGGCTGGGCGATATGGACAAAAATTCATATCTTGGTATTTACAAGCTGAGCGGCGATACACAATATATATCTTGGTATTTTGTACGAAATGGGCTACATGTTGTCAGTTTCAAGTCAAAGCCACATTTCAGATGTCACAAGCACTTTAATATAAATATGCAGCTGCACAACAGTTACACCTCCAAAACACTAGTCAGTGGTGGGGTTTCTGCAAAGTTTAGTTGATTCAGAATGCACATTAAACACACATTAAACATGGCTTAATATCAACACTTTAAAACACAAGTACACAAATCAGCTTTACTATAACTCGCAGCATTCACAGACAAACACTTGTCTTTATCTGGACACATTTTCCCCACAAATACAACAAGCTAATGTTGTTAGCACAAGCCTATGGCATTTTACATTGTATAAATTAGCCTAGCAGCTAGTGGACTTTTCCTCTACTCATATGAAGCCAGGGACACCAGCAACATTTAACAAAGGTAACTTAACAAAATTCGGCTCCATTACAGCTCATGGTTTTAAATTTTTATCTTGCACGAAAATCAATATATCGTTCATAGTCGGCATATCACCCAGCCCTACATTAGGACCTTGCTTGTCCACAAATGCCTCAAGTGTGCATGTTTAATAGACCTACCTGTTTTAAACTACTTAAACTAAGTCATGGAAATGGGGTAGAATATTATGAAAAAGTTTAATTGGTAAACATGTGTGGGAACCCTGAAACGTGAAGCTAACGCCAGTGGCTGCTTAGCTTAGCTTGTCTTAGCTTAGAGAAAATAATGAAAACAGGGGAAACAGCTAGCTTGGCTCTGTCCAACAATTACAACCTTCACCTCCCAGCACTTGTAATGCTCACTAATGAACACGCTTCCCCTCATTTGCTCTTGGAGTCTCTGGGGGTTGTCTTGCTCAGTGACGAAAGGACTTAAGAAGGTTACTGCGTCTGGCACATAACTCCACTGTAACACTAAATTGTGAGTATTTGTAAGTATTAAACAAATGAGATATAAGGTGTTAAGTAGTGAGCTTTAAATGTGTGACAGGTGGATTTTATAATCTTTAGACAGAGCCAAGCTAGCTGTTTCCCCCTTGTTTCCAGTCAATACGCCAAGCTAAGCTAGCCAGCTGCTGGCTACAGCTAGTGATGGCCAAATGAGGCCTCATGAACCACTGTCTTTATTTTCTGAAGCCACCAGATGGCGCTGTGTGTTCAACAAAGGTTTGAGAGCACACTTCATTGCAAGTAATTCAGCCTTTATCTTTAAACCAAGAGCGCCATCTGGTGGGGTCAGAAAATAAAGACAGTGGTTCATGAGGCTTCATTTGGCCATCACTAGCTACAGCTCCGCACCTGACATGTGGAGTGGTATCAGTCTTATCTAAAACTCAGCAAAAAAGCGAATGAGTATTTCCCAAAATGTCAAACTATTCCTTCAACTATTTTTGGATCCTGTGTAGGAGTTATTTTAAGTCCTTGAAGTGCAGATTGGTTTTTGTACACCTTCGTTGAGACATGAGTAACCAGCAAAGACTGACACTAAAGCCAAGTGCTTTTTGAGCTTACTCTAATACATGCTAGACAGAACTGTTACAAGGAGAGAACTTCTGGAGAAGTTTTATGTCTGTACCAGTTTAAACATTTGTTCTTTCTTTCTCCTATCAAGCTGGGCAGAATCACACGGGACTGGATTTTATTTGAGCTGGTTTCAAATACTAACTGAGGAGCGCTTTAGTGAGTTACCCAGCAAAACTGACAATACTCTACCAAACCAGGAGCCAAGTATATTTACACACTACCAGCCGCTGATATTACCATTGAAATGATATTTCACTGCCTGGTGGAAGGTTTTCACTCTTTAGCCAGCACACATCGAAGGAGTTGTCGATGGGAAGTGTATTTGGCCGTCACATACGAACAAAATAATGAGATGCAACGTAAAATGAGAGCTACTGATCGCCAGGGCAGCTGTTACAAGCAGCTGACTCCATATGAACTTGAGGAATTTGTGCTAAAATGTAAAAATGTTCTACCAAAGTGAAATATCTCCTCAGAGGTTTTGAAGGGAAGCTTGTTTTTTTCTCCACATTTCGGTTGCTGATTTTCAAGCACCTCAGACCAGACGTTTTGTCGTTTTAATGCTTTTCCGTGCCAAGCTATGGACATGCAGTCATCACATACATAACATATGTGCTGTCCAGAATTTGGCACAGAAAAATGCCGGTCTGAGCTGGTTGAATCAGGATCTCTTCCTCTCCTCGACATCTCTTTCCTCTTCTTTCCTCCCATCTCTAACTACAGCATTTTTCATCTCCAGTTTCTACCTCTACACTTCAGTTTCTTTCTTCCATAATTTCCTCTTTTCATACATTATCTTGTACATTGACATCAGCGTTGTGGCCCTAACTGGCTGTATAATTTAAAAAAAAAGAAAAAAAAGAAGCTATAACTGATTCCTTTCTTTTTTTTAAAATAAGATGTTGCACAAACAAACTTCCCTGCACGGTGCAAACTACTGTATGCATACACACGTCTTTAACTATCATCTCATTGTCTTTTTATTTTGTGTCTTTTTTTTTTAAGGAAAAACAAATCTTGTTCACTCATGTAATATAGAGAGATCAGACCCACTTGTTTTATATATGTTAATTTTTTTCTGTAAAGCCTTAGTCCTCGTATTTGATTTTATTTTTGTAGATATGATTAAAAAAAAGGATGTATAAATTATTTTCTTCTCCCTTGTTTTTAAAATTGGTGAGATTGTTTAGCTGCACAGAAGGAAAAGAGAGCTCATGTCTCAGATTCATGTGTTTTGTGAGATTAAAAAGAAACTGGATAAAGGAAATGAAAATGTCGTTTGTGAGTTTTTGATCTTTGAATTTTGGAAATTGTCATAAATCTAGGGCAGCACGGCGATGCAGTGGTTGGCACCCTCTTGCTGTTGCCTCACATCTAGATGGTTTCTGGTTTTGTATGTTCTCCCAGTGTCAGCGTGGGTTTTCTCCAGGTACTCCAGTTTCCTCCCACAGTCCAAAGACATGCAGGTTAATTGGTGACTCTAAATTGTCCTAGGTGTGAATGTGAGTGTGACTGGTTGTCTGTCTCTATGTGTCAGCCCTGTGATAGTCTGGTGACCTGCCTCTCACCGTATGTCAGCGGGGATAGACTCCAGCAACCCTGCGACCCCTAACAGGGTAAGTGGTTATGGAAATGAATTAATGTCACCATTTAATGTTTGTCAAAAATTCAGAAGTGCATCTTCTTACAGGCAACATAGACAAAAAATGCCACCAAAATAATATAGGGTTTCCATCAATGTATGTATTTGGACATTGAAGAAAATCTATGCAGAGCCTATGTCGTAGCCCACAGACGTGGCCTACACCGTTTTGAGCATTTATAATTGTGCGGTGGTGTGTCTGTGTCACTCTGCAGTTACACCTCCAAAACACTAGTTGGCAGCAGAGATATCTGAAGTGCTGTAAAGATTAGTTGATTCAAAACACACATTAAACACACATTAAATATGGCGTAATAGAGACAGTTTCAAACACAAGTACACAAATCAGCTTCACTATAACTCGCAGCATTCACAAACACTTGTCTTTATCTGGACACATTTTCCCCACAAATACAACATGCTAATATTATTAGCACAAGCCTATGGCATTTTACATTGTATAAGTTAGCCTAGCAGCTAGTGGACTTTTCCTCTGCTCATATGAAGCCAGGGACAACAGCAACATTTAACAAAGGTAACGTTACAAAATTCAGCTCCATTACAACTCACAAGCTTCACTGACAAAACAACTGTCTTACACTAAACATGCTAACATTATTAGCACAAGCCTATGGCATTTTACATTGTATAAATTAGCCTAGCGTCTACAGCACCAAATGTGTTAGGCCCAGCACTGCCCAAAATTCATAGTTGTAACTACATTATGTGTCACCGGGTTTCAACCAAAATTAAGGGTTAAAACATAGCTACTTTTATCAGAGAGCCTTTCCTGATTTTTACTTGAGATTTAAAGTTCAGTTAAAATGTCTTTTATTTCCTCAGTTTGTATAAGCAAAGGTGTTTTAGTCAGTTCTTTTAAAGGTTGTTGTTTTCATGTCTTGTCTGTTTTAATTATTGACATGTAAAGCACCTTGTAACTCTGTTTTAAAAAGCGGTTTATAAATAAAAGATTACTATTTTGAAAATCCCCACCGGAAGCTGTGAAAGCACTCCGTGCCGGTGTGCGGTGCTGCTGGGTTTCCTCACACAGCCGCTCAGCTCAGCCACACAGCGGATGCGGGGCCGGGATGAGGTGCGTGTTGCTGCCTTATGTGCGGCTTCGGTGCGTCGATTAAAGATGCGATTAAACAGCCGAGAAACAAACAAAAACAAACTGCGTCACGCGAAAACACTCCGGTGATGACCGAGCGTGGAAGCTGCGGACAGATGCGCGTCGGGAGAAAGTGAATTTGGAGGCACTTTGGCTGCTCGGCTCTTTGTGCTGCAGGTTGCAGCATTTTCCTTTTGGACTGAAAGGTAAAACACCCCTGCATGCATTCTGGGTAAGATGTGCTTTTTAGTGTGTGGGCATTAATATGAAAACACCGGCTTTAAAGCAAAAACTACAAATCTAACATTTGCTTCTTCTTTTTTCATCATGAATGCATTTTTATGTCTGTATTTGCGCTGGCTCGCCTGCCAGAGCTGATGAGCTGGCAGATAACAGTATCGATCACACTGAATACCACTAACAGTGTGAGCCTTCTCACTGTGACTCAGAGCTCATCTGCCGGGTCTTGCTTTGTGTTTTTATCCGCGCACTTTAACCACTTTGCGCTTTTACGCACCGTGTGCCAAACTGAACGCTGCACACTCCACACTCCACGTCTGGTAGATCCACGTCTCCGTGCTCATGTGTGATGTGTTTGCTGTGTGGTCACCAGTCTGTTGCACATCACTTCATCCTGGGTGTGTTCTGCTTTGTCTCACTCCTTTTGTTTCCTCTGGTGTTACATCTCCCTCAGCGCGGCCGCTGCAGCTCATTCTTCACTCGTCGGTCATTATCTTTAATTCACTCATGTATGTGTATGTTTGTCATGTAAAGGCCTTGAAGCCTGGTCTTGGGTTGCTCAAAGGAGTTTGTATTGAGGCAGCAGCCACGCCTTGCTGGCCCACTGCCACCCTGAGGCCTGGAGGCCCCCGGGAGCCACACAGGCAGGCTGGTTACCCGAATCTGAGGCAGCATGCATTTGAACAAGATGTTTCACTCCGAGCTGACAGGTCAAGAGAAACATGTAACAAACTAAATACACTTGCACTCATGTTGTTTAAACTTGACAAACCTCATAACACAAGTGCAGCTGTGCTTCATTATCCCACAGCATCAGCAGAGATTCACACTCATGCAAAGAAAAACTTACAGCACAGGGCTGCAATGATATGAGATTTTCACAGTACAGAACCGTCTAAAAAAATATCACGGTTTCATTGTATCACGGTATTACAGAGTTTATCCAGTTCAATAGGACTTTATTTATCCCAAAGGAAATTCTGGTGCCAGAAAATGCTTCAAATTACAGAAACACTAAATACAGTAACAACAATTAATGATTCATAACCAGTACCAACCAGACAACCAGTGGGTTCCCCCTGTCAGGGTCACTCACTGGGCCCAGTTTTAGAACAACAGAGCAATAAATGTTTGGCAGAATATACAAATATACAAGACAGAGGTGTTTTCAAGTAGCAGAAGCAAAAACCAGTGCCTTAAAGAGTAACAATAGGAGTATGATAAGTACAAGAGTTACTAAAAATGGACTGAAATGGTGGAGAAAAACAGACTGCTCCTGATAATCAATGTTATATTGAATATGATGTAACAATGACAAGTAGTATTCCACATGACTGTGAAAATGATATTGCACTACACTGACAAGTGATCAAGATATTGAAAATTTCCACCGAAACAGCTCCTCGTAGAGTCTCAGATTACTTAATGATGTCATCTGATGTGGGTGTTTGTTCTGTTTTGTGCTGTTAGATCTTAGCACAGTGTTCGATATTGTGGATCACAGTATCATGATTGACAAGCTTAGATAGTGGGCGGGTGTCTCTGGGAGTGCCCTTGACTGGATTTGCTGCTATCTTTCGGATAGGAGTTTCTTGGTCCTTTCAGGTCTGATACTGCTGCTCTTTCCTGCGGTGTACCTCAGAGCTCTGTCTTGGGTCCTATATTATTTGCTTTATACATGCTTCCACTGGGTCAAATTATTAGCAAGTTCACAGGCATATCATATCACTGTTATGCTGACGACATTCAACTTTATGTCTGGTTTAAGCCTGATAACACAGATAAACTTGCAGTTCTTCCTAATTGTCGGATGTCAAACAACTACTTACAATTCAATCAGGAGAGACGAGTTTTTATTGTAAAAAGAATATTTATTAATATTCATGTTTATATTAATGAACTGATCTCTCAGAACACGACCTACTTGCAGTCCCCTGCTCCAGACTGAAAAACAAAAGGTGATGACGCCTTTGAGATGGTGGCTCCAACACTGTGGAACTCTCTTCCATTAGGTTTACGGTCCGCAGTCTCTTTAGAAAGTTTTAAAAAACAACTGAAGACCCATCTTTTCAAAACAGCCTTCGTCCCACCCTAAATTGTCCAGTGCTTGTTCCCTGGTGTGTTTCTGTTGGAGGCCTCAGTGGCCTGCATTTGCTCTATGTTTTACTTTCTTTTATTGCCTTTGTTTTTACTGATTGCACGTGTTATTGTTTGAGTGCTTTATTGTGTTTTTTTCTAGAGTGGCATGCAGGGGGTGAGGGGGTATTATTATCAGTCAGAATGACCCTTAAAGGAATAAAAATGGAAGTTATTTTTGGTTGAAAATATTTTGTTACTATAATTGAAACCATTTTGTTAATGTAAGAATGTGTAAAAAGTCTCCCCTTTAAAAGTAACTAAAATAAAGGGGAGATTCTTTTTATTTTTCAGTATGGTAGATGAGAAAATGTACATGGTATGATAACCATCAACTTTTATATCACGGTATACCTTGAAACCAGTATATTGCTGCAACCCATAGTGTGGCAGCAGTTTTGGTTCTGATCAGTGTGTTTCCACGCTGCACGTGGAACCTCTCACATCCCAGATGATGCTGAACAGGGACTCCAGGGTAAATCAATCGGCGGTGGATTGATTACAGTGGGAGAGGCTCGTCAGTGCGATCAATGGGATTGACTGTCTCAGACAGGGTGGGAGAGAAACACAGCTGGTTTTGTTTATGTTTATGGTACAGTAATGTAGTTTGGAAGCCGTGAGAAACTCTGCTGCTCTGATATGTTGAGAGAATGACTGGAAATACTGCTTCAGTGCTAAGATTTTAAAAGGAGCGTGTAATAGTGTAGTAATCAGGAGGTTTTAGTGGCATCTAGCGGTGAGGATCTCCTGATTAGAATTCCCTCAATGTTCATTGCTCTGGAGGTTTTTACTAAGAGCCGAATTATTTGCAGAGGTCTCGTCCTCTTCGAAACAAACCGACCCAGGGGCGTAAATATAGACAGTTCTGCCTGTTACATGCATTGTCTTCTTTCAAAATACACATCTGTTTTCACAGGAAACGCACTACGTCGGTACTAGGGCTGCCACAATTAGTCGACTAATTGATGACTAATCGACTATTAAAATAATCGGTGACTATTTTAGTAGTCAACTAATCGGTTTGAGTCATTTTTCATAAAAAAGTACTATAAAAGAACCCCAAAATACTCTTACTGCAGCTTTTTACGTTCAGATATTGGCAGCTTTACACTCTCTCCCGTGACAGTGAACTAAAACCCTTTGGCGTGAGTATGAAACAAGACATTAGATGATGTAATTTTGGGGTTTGGGCGAGACAGACCGACATTTTTCAACATTTTAACACATTTTTTGATGAAATGATTAGTCGACTAATCGAAGAATTAATCGACAGATTAGTCGACAGTGAAAATAATCGTTAGTGGCAGCCCTAGTCGGTACAACAACACAAATTGACGTTTGTTTTCCTCAAACAACTACTGCATGTGGTTGGGTTTAGGCAACAAAAACACTTGGTTAGGTTTAGGAAAAAAGGACAGGGTTTGGCTTTATAGTCTTATGGGACGCGACCGCTGCTCTCTTGGGTGAAAGTTGGTGTTTGTTGGACCCACCCTTCCTACTTTGACTTGCGACGCCTTAACTTTTGTTCTTGTCCGCCGCGTTTCCCCCCGACGCCAGCAAGAACTGTTAAACTATAATGTTGACCGGCGGTATATCATGCTGAAGTTAAAGGACAGCATGATACGACTTAAGGGGCACAGAGCTCGGAGTAGAGCCGCTGCTCCTTCTCGTCGAAAGGGGTCAGTTGAGGTGGTTCGGGCATCTGATCAGGATGCCTGTTTCGGCCATGTCCCAGCAGTAGGAGGCCCCGGGGCAGATCCAAGAACATGCTGGAGGAACCACATATCTCATCTGTCCTGGGGACGCCTCGAGGTCCCCCAGGAGGAGCTGGAAAGGGCGGCTGGGTAGAGGGATGTCTCGGGTTGCTTTGCTTGGCTTGCTGCCCCCGTGATGGATGGATGTACACTGAAGAGAACGTACTACTTATATTCCACTTCTGCCAGTATACCCTAAATCCCACACACAGGACCTCTAAAGCGCTATCTTTCCTCTTGTGCTCTGTGTCTGACTCTGTTGTGTCTGGCCCAAGACCGATTGACCGATATATATGTTTGACTGTCAGTTCCTGATTGTGAAAAGCTTTTTAAGTCTTCATAAACTGCAGCAAAGATAAGTTTTCATGCCACTAGAGAATGTGTGCTCTCAGGTCAGTTCCATTTTTAATCAGAAAGCGCGCAGAGTGCTCTGCTTGGCTTGATGATGTGACAATGGCCCAGTCTCCTTTTTTAAAAATGTAGAGAGATGTTTTCCCCCGTACAGCATCTATGAAAGGTGATTTTAATGTTTTATTGTCTCTTCAGTCACTCCGGGACATTAACATTGTTGTTAAGCCGTTCCTGTGTAGCTCTGGCTTCATGCATGGGCTCGTTTTCTTGCTGGAAAATTGTCTCCCTGGTGGCAGGATTCTCACAGACTGCATCAGTTTTTTGTACAAGATTTCTCCATATTTAGCTGCAATCATTCCCCTTCTACTTTCACAAGCTGTGCAGGGCCTGCAGCAGAGAAGCATCCCCACAGCGTGATGCTGGTTGACATCAGGATTCATTAGCTCCTGTGTGAAGTATTGTAGATCCTTGGAAGTGGATCATTTTTAGTGCAGCATTGTACTTACCATGGGTCTGCTTGCAAAATGTCCCAGCTGAGAAGTCCATGTGTGAGTCACATGAAAGCCATTACTGCAAATTGCAGTGTCTGATGTGGAAGATGGACACAGGAGGTCACGGCTCAAATTGAGAGCGCGAGCTTTGGTATTAGATTAAGAGTGTGCTTGTTGTACGTCCAAATCGGAAAGTACCTTTTGGGGGAAAAAATGTTACTGCCTGGTTGAAAACTCAAACCTAAAGGAGGACGTCACAGAGAAAATGACCATTTGTATATCAATTAGTCATGTTGTGTTACTTACAATTCCTGAAACTAATGTTTTTCTTGCATGCCACCATGGTGAATACGGAACATATTGATTTGTGTGCCAAGAAAATCTCCCCCACACCATTACACCAGCACCAGCAGCCTGAACCGTTGATACAAGGCAGGATGGATCCATGCTTTCATGTTGTTTACACCAAATTCTGACCCTACCATCTGAATGTGGCAGCAGAAATCCAGACTCATCAGACCAGGCAACGTTTTTCCAATCTTCTATTGTCCAGTTTTGGTGAGCCTGTGTGAACTGTAGCCTCAGTTTCCTGTTGTTAGCTGACAGGAGTGGCACCTGGTGTGGTCTTCTGCTGCTGTAGCCCATCTGCTTCAAGGTTGGATGTGTTGTTGGTTCAGAGATGGTCTTCTGCAGACCTTGGTTGTAACCAGTGGTTATTTGAGTTACTGTTGCCTGACCTCTGGTATCAACAAGACATTTTACCCAGACAACTGCTGCTCACTGGATATTTTCTCTTTTTGGGACCATCCTCTGTAAACCCTAGAGATGGTTGTGAGCAACAGAACATCCGTTTACAAATGTTCACACAACTCATGCAGTATTATCCAAGTCTCATTTATCCATTCGCATGCTCCGTACTTCCCAAACAGCATGAGTTGTATGAGAGTTTAACAGATGTTTTTACATAGTGTTGCTGTTGCTAAACATGGCCCCCTTTTGGATTCATTGTTCACCATGGAGGCATGCGAGAAAAACAAAGTTTTTCTCATGAATTTAACATAACACAGACCGAGTAACTGATATTAAAATAATCATTTAGGTTATGAAGTATTCCTTTAAAGTGGAGGACAGAAACGGATTCAGAATCGCAGCCTGGTAAATGATTAGTGTCTCTCTCTGTCTTCAGAGGTGTGTATTTGAGGGAGAATGAGAGGAGGGGGGATGTAGAGTTGATGTTCTGGTTGCTGTGGCAACAACCCCCCTCCTGTCTTTTCTCACCCCCAGCCTCCCATTCATCCCCATTGTAGTAGTTAAGCTCTGTTGCCCTTGGAGACCACAGGGGACAGTTGGGGAATGTGGCGTCTGGACAAGTACATATCACACATGGAAAGAAAATGGAGATGAACCAGCACAAACAAAACATATTTTCTGTGTTTGTAGAAATGAGACGCTGTGCACGTTCTCCAGGGTCAACCAGTTTTTAGCTTTGCTTGAGTCATTCATGCATGAAACTGGAACATTTTAAAGTCGCCCTGATGTTCTACCTCCACCCCTGCATGTCGTGCACACTGGAGACTCGTAGCCTAGAATAGAACATGGCGTAATTGCCCTTTATTGGCTGTGAACACACTCAGGGCCAAATCACTTGAGTCTGCTCATAAAAACTCCCTCAAAGCGGAAGAATGAGCCCGGCTATGTCCTGTGTGACACACACACTTTCACACACCTCAGAGTGCCAACATTTTAACAATGTCTCTCTTCTTGTCGCTGTTACTTGGCATGTTTCCCTCTGAGATGCTTTTACTCTTGTCTGATATGACAAATTATCCACTCTCTTCACTCTCCTCTCTCCGCTTTCTCTCACACACTGTTTTCGCCTTTTCCAAACTCACCATTTTCATCATTTATCTTCTTCTCTCTCACCCTGTCTTCCTCCCCCATCCTCCCCTCATTTTCTCAGGCCTCCAAGATAGATTCCCTCAGGAGTAAAGTGGACTTGCTGCGCCTCCCCTTGGCCCTCTCCACCAAGTCCATTAGCAATCGTAAGAGTCAGCTGGGCGTGGTCTGGGAGAAAGGCGGCGGCGGCCCGGGGGCAGGAGGGGCTCGGAAACTCCGCCCACCGCTAGCCTCCAACATGGACAACGAGTCGACGTACTCGGGCTACTCCTACAAGTCGTCCCACTCACGAAGCTCCCGCAAACACAGGTACCAGACCACATATCGTACTGTACGTAAGTGGATCACAACTGTACTAGCCAAAGTCAGTTTTTATTTTGCCCCGTACAAATTGTTTTACCTATTAGTGGTTTTCAAAGCGCAACAAAAACGAAAGCTGCCATGCAAGCAAGATGCTGTCAGCTCCTGTTATGGCACTCTAGTGATGTTTTTCAGAAACTTGACGTGTCTTTGAAAAACAACCCCATTTTATTGACCTTGCTCTCAAACTTGCAGCAAAAGCCCTGTTTCCACCAAACACTTTCAGTATGGTATCTTTGGAACCAGAAGTAACCCTTCAGACATGGTACCTAGACCCTAGTGTTTCCACCGCAAACAGTACCCTTAAATGTGGGCGGGGTTGTTGTCACTCACTGCTCCCTCCAGCACTCACTGTATTTCCTCATTATTGGCGACACAGATGGAAGTCTGCACCTTGTTTATTGTCCACAGAACGATGCTGCACGCCGACATTTTTAGAACAAAATAAAACAGGCTGCAGTGAGAGTCTCTCTCCATGAGATATTTCAAAATAGCAGGTTTGTGCATTCAGTTCTTCTCAGGCAAGCTCAGGGGTTGAGTGTTGCCAGAGCCCACAGGAACAACGCTCCATGACACTTTTTTTTTTTTCTCCGAGTGAGGATTAGAATATATGTAGTTCACATAATCAGGTCTAAATTAAAATATATAAACCCTTGAAGATCCACTCATTACTAAAAGTGTATGTCATATAAAGACTAAAGTAATGGTCAAAGGTGTCACAGTGAAATTTAAGGTGTGTTGATTGATTCATGTCATCAACTCATGCATTAATTAACATTACAAGTTAACATTCCACCTTAAAAGTTGCTGGCAGTAGACCCAGTGAATTAAGTTATTTTACTCCGACTCCAGCTGCTGTGAGAGGCAGCAAAACATCCTTTAATTTTATAGTTAGTTTACTAATAAAACTCTCCACAGTATGAACAGTGGTTACATGAGCCTCAAAACCAGCCACAACTCAGCCCTGAGCAGAGTGACCGTCCAACAGACCAATCAACAGACTGCAGTGTTCACAGCTCCACCTTTTAGTACCAGATCTGTGTGCTAGGTACCCCAACAGAGGGGTGACCAAAAATGTGGACGGTACAGAACGGTTCCATTGGTACCATCCACAACTTTTTACAGTGGAAGCAGAATAAAAAGCGTACCGAACTGAACCGTACTTTACTGCTCGGTGGAAACGGGGCAAAACTGCCCAATACATAGTTGGAGTTTAGCTCACATCCTCTTAACACCACCCAGCTAAACTCCTGTTTCCAGGATAAGTGAAATGGTCGCCTGCAATTCAGCTCGTTAGCTTTATCTATTGTTGTGAATGCTTGATCAGTAGTGCACATGTGCAACTCTCAACAGAGATGTGAAGGAAGAAAGGTGGCTCACTCCTTAGCTATTTACATCATCGCCTCTGGAACTTTCCCGATTGGGCAAGTGAGTTGCTAGATTTACTAGCCCAGCATTTCACTTGCCCCGAACAATTGGGGAATCCTTACTGTTTAGCTCTGCATTCAGTTTACAAAGACTGAGAAAAAATGGCAAGTATTTACATGTGTTTAGTCAAAATCAGTGAATCTGGCTCTTTTGCTAAAATATTTACGCAGTTAATCAAATATGAAATATTTGCAGTATTATATATATTTTAGTATTTAAAAAAAGAACAAGGTAGAACTAACATTTTTCATCAATCGACAGAAAATGACTATCGGGTGTCAAACATACGGCCCACAGAGGACAGAATCGGCCCACCAAAGGGTCCAACTAGTGATGGCCAAATGAAGCCTCATGAACCACTTTCTTTATTTTCTGACCCCCACCAGATGTCACTCTTGTTTTAAAGATAAAGGCTGAAGGACTTGCAATGCAGTGTGCTTTCAAACCTTTGTTGAACAGACAGCGCCATCTGGTGGCTTCAGAAAACAAAGACAGTGGTTCATGAGGCCTCATTTGGCCATCACTAGGTCCAACCAGGCTCACTGGATGACTTTGCACGCCTGTTTAAAATGTGAGAAGAATATGTCATATGAAATGCAGCTTCAAAGACTTTGAGAGAATCAGTAATATTAACTTATTTTTCTTAAGACATTTCAGACTGTTCAACATCTGTTTTGTAAATGGGTGAGCGTTTTCATAATGCGCTTGATCCACTTGAGGTCAAACTGGACTGAATCTGGCCTATGAGCTAAATTGAGTCTGACACCCCTGATTTAAATGATGGATTATTTGTGTCAGGTTTTTTCAAGCAAAAATGCCCCATAATTGTCTAATTGAGAACCCAATCAGCCGATAATCAACAATCAAAATAACTGTTAGTTGCAGCCTTAGAATAGATGCATAGAAACAAAAGGACATGAATTAAAGGTATCACATATGCTTAAAGAGTGGAGACTTGAGAAATTTCAAACTTTGGCGCTCCAGTGGTGATATTAAAAATGGCAAGATACCATAATCACATAAAAAATGTACCTGTCCTGGCTTTAAATGCTCAAATGAAAAACTGTAAAAGAAGAAATTGGGGTTCAGAGATTAGATTAGGCTTTAACACAGTGGCTTATCAAATAATCATATCAGGGACTGGAGGATTATATATAGGACGTGCCACGACATGATCCATGTTAATAAACCATCTCTGACTTCTACACTTTTTCTTTCTCTCCAGGGAGAGAAGGGACAGGCATCGCTCGAAGAGTCGGGACAGCAGCATCCGTGGAGACAAATCAGTGACCATCCAGGCTCCAGGAGAGTCGCTGCTGGACGCCGAGTCCACCAGAGGAGACGACAGGGTGAGAGTTAGATTTGAATCACTCCTCGTTAGCTGTGTTCTGTCGTGCGTCACCAACACTCCTCTCTACTCTCTCCTCAGGATGACAACTGGGGTGAGACGACGACTGTGGTCACTGGCACCTCTGTGGACAGCATCTCCAATGAGGACCTCACACGGGTCTCTAAGGACATTGAGGATTCTTCGCCGCTGGAGTGCCGGCGTTACCTCGGCCCAGCGTTGGGCGCCGTCCTGGGGCTCTTTGCTCTGGTCACTCCTCTGGCCTTCCTGGCGCTCCCACAGCTCCTTTGGCGGGACACACTGGAACCTTGCGGCACACCATGTGAGGGCCTTTACATTTCTCTGGCCTTCAAGCTCCTGATCCTCCTCATCTCCACCTGGGCGCTTTTCTTCCGCCCACCCAGAGCCACTCTGCCACGCTTCTTCATCTTCCGCTGTCTGCTGCTGGCGTTGGTCTTCCTCTTTGTTGCGTCTTATTGGCTCTTCTACGGGGTGCGGGTGCTGGAGTCCAGAGAGACAGACTACAGGGGGATTGTGGGATATGCAGCATCTCTGGTGGATGCGCTGCTGTTCATTCAGTACCTGGCCCTGGTGCTGTTGGAGGTCAGACATCTGCAGCCTGCGTTCTGTCTCAAGGTTGTGAGGACCACAGACGGAGCCAGTCGCTTCTACAACGTGGGACATCTTAGGTAAGTGTATCAGGATTATTTGTCTTTTTTTAATTGTTAAATTGTGCTTTCATTTCAGATTTTAAATTTGAGTAAAAAAAAAGAATATCTCAAAAACTACAACAGATTTTCACCTATTATTTGTATTTTGTTTTATTTTTTGTTTTATTATACACATCATATGACAGTATGAATTCAGATTACAATATTAAAACAGCCACTACAAGACAGAAATAACTAATAATGACAGAAAAAACAAAATAGAAGCTGTCATTTAGGAATTAAGGAACACAGATATTCATAAAGACACAGGGCCTTTCCTTTTTTTATTGATGAGTGCAAAGGTCAGTACAAAAACAAAGAAGCAAGGTAGTGACAGACAGTGTGGACATGGAGGTAGGCGATATAGACCAAATATAGACAAAACGAGACAAAACAAACAAGCAGATGACTTTCAGGTAAATGGCATTCTTGCTGTTGTAGATATGCAAACCGTGTTTTTACTATACTATGGGTGGTTATTAAGGGCACTCGTGTCTGTAGTTAATAAAGAAGATAGAGAAGAAGGGCTGAGCAAATAACACTAAGAGGGAAATACATAATCTACACAATGATAAGAGTAATATATACTTGTGCATATACATTATGGATGGGAATCACCAAAGGTAGTGATGGCCAAATGAAGCCTCATGAGCCACTTTCCTTATTTTCTGACCCCATCAGATGGCGCTCTTGGACCTTAGTGATGGCCAAATGAGGCCTCATGAACCACTGTCTTTATTTTCTGACGCCACCAGATGGTGCTGTCTGTTCAACAAAGGCTTGAAAGCACACTTCATTGCAAGTCCTTCAGCCTTTATCTTTAAACCAAGAGTGCCAAAATAAAGAAACTGGTTCATGAGGCTTCATTTGGCCATCACTACTCTTGGTGTAAAGATAAAGGCTGAAGGACTTGCAATGCAGTGTGCTTTCAAGCCTTTGTTGAACAGACAGCGCCATCTGGTGGCTTCAGAAAATAAAGACAGTGGTTCATGAGGCCTCATTTAGCCATCACTAGCCAGAGGACTCGGCATACGATACAATCTTGATAATTAGGTCACGATACGATATTATTGGGATCTTGCGATATGCTGAGTATTTATTACCTTTTTTCCCAAACTTTGTCAGTTTATCTTGTAATATAACGTTTTTCAGTCTGTTTACCTGACTTTAATCATTTTTAGTGCGGCAAAATGTGATGCAAAGCAGACAGACTGACTAACACCGTCACAAAACCTTTGGCAGATTTAACGCCCTCTGTGAGGCCAGAGTAGGTGCGGGAATGAACTACTTCACATGCAGGCGTTCTGATGACTGAATGGCAGCCCCCATGTAAGAAGCGTTGTCTGTTACAACCACAATCCCCCATTCTTGTGCTGCATTTTGCAGGAAGTCTGCAACGCTTGCTGTGACTTTCATGTGCTGTTCCAGTTTGGTGAGACAGCAGTCACCAGTGATAATGCACCATTATAGTCACATATGAATCCACTGACCTCGAAGTTCAGGTGTCACAAGTTAACGCCACCCTTCCTGCTGTACTCAAAGATTCCTCAGCTTTATGCTTGACTTCTCTGTAGAGCCTGGGTACGGCTTTGTCAGTGAAAAAAAACATCGGGACTGAGACACATACTGACGGAGTGTTTTAAGCATGTGACAAAAGCCTTTGGTTTCGACAACACTGTATGGACTTAGATCTTTGTGCATGAAGGAGGCGATGGACTCACTCAGAGTTCGGTGCTAGTTTTGTCAAGCTAAAAGCGTCCAGTATTGATTGATTTTTTGGCGAAGTGGATTTAGCATTAGCTTGGCCGTCAGTGGCTAACGCTATCTCTGGATGGTAGAGTGCGCAGTGAGCCCTTGTGTTTGTAGTATTCCCAGAGTATTTTATTCCCGTATGACACTGCTTGCAAATCACGTGTGTCATACCCAAGTCCTCCTCTCCTTCCGTTTTAAAAAATCCAAAATAAGTCCAGATGTTTGATTGTTAAGTCCAGACTATGATAACCATATTCCTACTTAAAATCTACCACAGCATGGGACTGCATACATATTACTTAACCAAATTTGGTTTCAGATGATCTTGCAAAGATATTAAAAAGCATTAAAGTTAAGTGTCTTTCCAGAGAAGCTCACATGGGAGTCCAGAACAGTACCAAGGTATTTAAAATTTTCCATGGTTTTAAAACGTTGGCCATCGAGTGAAACTGGCTCTGTCTTCAGATCTTTTTTCGTGTGAATAATCAATTCTTAAATCTTGGCCATGTTAATTTCTCACTTGCTGATGTGACACTGTGTCTAAAGGGCCTTAGTGTGGGCCAGGTAGGCAGCTTCACCCGATGGGTCTGTCTGCTGTAATAGACCAACTAAGGCCATGTCATCAGCATATCTAGATAATCTAAAATATCTAAACCCCCCAGTAAATGTAAGGAAATTTGCCCTGAAGCATAGTTTTATAATTCAAATCTATTTTTTTCTATTTTAAACTGACTGTGTTTTGAATTTTAACTGAGCACAGCCAAAACTAGGGCGGCCTACACTCTTTGCTGTGCCTGAACCCATCCTGTGTAAACACAGATGGAGGACAGAAGCTGCTGCTGCTCTGCTGGCATGCTGCTCACGCTTCCTCCTCTGTAGGCACAGCATGGTGCCATATTGCTGACCAAAAGTTGCCCGACATAGCAGCTGTGCACTTTGCACATGCAACCATATGTAGGTGACACATAATTACAACAAATAGCCCAGAAGTGATGCTACAAAATGTTACGCTTTTTATATCTATAGCCAGCCGTGCAGCAAAATAAATACACAGTAATTAAAGATAGTTCAGTGTTTGTGTGTCTGAATCACTTTGCAAAATGTGTCCTTTTACACAGTGATGATGATTCAATGCAAAATAACAACATTGTCAAACATTGAAAGAACAAAAATAGCTGACTGTGAATGCTGTCCAGTCTGTCATCAATTCAGAATAAGCCTGAACCAGACTGCATTTGTTAATTAATGAAAATTCTGCTTAATTTTTTTCATTCGTGCTTTCTAATTACTCTCCTTTTGTTAAAGCTATTTTTGTCTGTCTCATAGGCTCCATATTCTCACAGTAAAGCAGACTGTTTTTGCTCATGCATGCAGCCCAGTGGGAGTCTGTTCCTGCTGCGGGTGGTTTACCACTTCCTTTATCTGCGTGTTAACGTCATAAAGCTGTCAGGTCGTCATGGATAATTGACACCTATAACGGCTCCTTGTGTTAAAATTCCCCAGTTAAAGGGAACAACGTTGTGTTTCTTCCTCTGTGTCATTCATCTCAGTATTCAGCGAGCAGCAGTGTGGGTTCTAGACCAGTACTACAGTGACTTCCCAGTGTATAACCCCGCCCTGCTCAACCTGCCCAAGTCCATCCTCTCTAAGAAGATGTCTGCCTTCAAGGTCTACAACCTGGGGGAAGGTAAAACGATCTTGTGTATTTAATCTTTTCCATTCAGCCGATTCTGCATCAGAACAATTCTACCACGTGCATGTGTGCAAAGTAGGGGTGTAACGATCCATCGATCTGGAGCGATACATATCGATTCAATGATGAACAATCCTATATTATTGATGCAAAGTGAAAACATGGATCATCATCTTTAGGGTACGCCTTTGTTTTGAAATTCTTTGTCACGGTTGTGTCAAGTAGCCGAGAGAAAGACAACAAGGAAGTTTGCCTCCTGGGCTTTACGCCAGATAACCCTGGAGTTTTATGAAAAAGATTTCTTCCAGAAAGGTCTCTGACAGAAATCCCCGAAGGCTGACTTATATTTTGTGCTATTTTATGTGTTAGTGGAGTCAATTTAAAGTAAACTCATTGGCCACTTTACTAGGTACAGATTGCTAGCACCAGGTTGGACCCCCTTTTGCATTCATAACTGCCTTAATTCTGCCTTAATGCTCAGGTGGGCTGTGGTGTTTAAACCATGCTCAGTTGGTACTAAGGGGCCCAAAGTGTGCCAAGAAAATATCCCCCACACCATTACACCACCACCAGCAGCCTGAACCGCTGATACAAGGCAGGATGGATCCATGCTTTCATGTTGTTTACACCAAATTCTGACCCTACCATCTGAATGTGGCAGCAGAAATCCAGACTCATCAGACCAGGCAACGTTTTTAATAATAATATCAGCAAATATCATATTGTTGTCCAAAGAATCAATATATGATCATGTCTTGATGAAACAGGTGATTTACACCCCTAGTACAAAACACTAAACAAGGGTGGGAAGCACTGGCACAACTGTCGTACATTGCTTGTGGTAACAATAATATCATAGTACAGGTGAGTCTTACCCCCTAAAAATGAGCAAATTAGTGTGCACATTGCATCGAAAAAACTGCTATACTTGGCAGACATGCTCAGGATGTTGTTGCTCTGCCTGCCGATTAGGCAGATAGGTCGTCTCTAGTGATGGCTCTTACTATCAGGGCTCTTAGGCTTTGGAACAGCCTGCCTGAGGAGATGAGGCTCGCAGAATCAATCACTTAAATCCCGTTTTTTTAGACTTGCTTTTGTGTGATGTTGTCTTTTTATTTCCTTTTTGTTTTGTTATTTTATTGCTTTTGCTGTTGTTGGTCATTTTATTTGTAGTCATTTCTATTGACGTTGGCAGCATGGTGGTGCAATGATTAGCAGTGTGGCCTCACAGCAAGAGGGTAGGGGGTTCAAGCCCCTCTGTGTGGAGTTTGCATGTTCTCCCTGTGTCAGCATGGGTTTTCTCCGGGTACTCCGGCTTCTTCCCACAGTCCAAAGACATGCAGGTTAATTGGTGACTCTAAATTGTCCGTAGGTGTGAATGTGAGTGTGAATGGTTGTCTGTCTCTATGTGTCAGCCCTGTTTTTGTTTTTTAATGTGTCATGTAAATATAGTTTTCATATTATTAATTGCAGTGTTTCTGTCTACAGAGAACAGCACCAATAACTCTACAGGTCAGTCCAGAACCATGATCGCAGCTGCTGCTCGGAGAAGAGACAACTCTCACAACGAATACTACTACGAGGAGGCAGAGATGGAGCGGAGGGTCCGCAAACGTAAGGCTAGGTGAGGACATGCCCACACAATTATATATTTAACAAATAAAGCACATACAAAGACAGAGACTGAATTTGAAAGATATGATGGAGCTTAATGATCCCCACAAGTCAGCTGAGTAATAATCTTTTTTAAAAATCTTTATTTATAAAGGACTTTTCAAAAAAGTTTCAAAGTGCTTTACACACCAATAATTGAAACAGACAAGACATGAAAACTTCTTTTAAAAGAACTGATAAAAAACACTTCAGTGTGTGAAAACGGAGGAAATAAAAGACAGTTTAAATGAACTTAAAACTCAAGTAAAATCAGGAAAGGCTCTCCAATAAAAGTATGTTTTAAGAAGGGACTTAAAAGAGATCACTGACTCGGCCAACCTCATTTCCTCGGGCAGACTGTTCCAGAGCCTCAGGGGCCCTAACAGCAAACACTCTGTCCCCTTTAGTTTTCAGCCATGCCTCTGCCCACGTTAAAAGCCTGGCAGCTGAATTCTGTACAGTCTGGAGTCGATTAATAGGTTCTTGATTCAGGTAAGAAAAGAGGCTGTTGCAGTGATCCTGGCGTGAAGAGATGAAGGCATGTAAAACTGTGTGTCTTTAAAAGTTAAAATGGATCGTATTTTTGAAATATTTCTAACATGATTAAAAACATGATTGCACAAGCTTTGTGATACACTGCTCAAAACTTAAATTACTGCCAAACCAGACTCCAAGATTTCCTGCAACAGGTTTGATATTTTCCAATAGGAGACCAATTCAGTTGAAGAAAATATTTTGACTTCCAGATTTTAACATCAGTAAGGCAGTCACCAAGTGAACACATCATTCCAGGGTCCGTGGATCTAACGGGCAGGTACATCTGTGTATCATCGGCATTAAAAATGAAAAGAGACACCGTGTCTCTGAATAATGTGCATCTACAAGGAGAATACAATTGGGCCCAGTGTCGACCCCTGAGGTGCACCATACTGAAGAGATGAAAATGAAGAGAAGTGGTTGTTGACAGAGACACAAAACCTCCTATTCATCAGATAAGATGAAAACCACTTCAAAGCTGTACCAGATATCCCCACCCTGTGCCTCAGTCTGTCACAGGATGTTATGATCGATGGTGTCAGAAGCTGCACTAAGGTCCAGGAGTACAAGTACTGAACACAGGCCCTCGTCAGCAGCCATTAAAAGGTCATTGGTAACCTTAAGTAGGGCATTTTCAGTGCTGTGATATTTACGGAAGCCAGATTGAAACTATTTTTAAAAATGCTGTTATTTCCTAGTACATAGAGAAGTTGCTTTGATGCCATTTCTTTTCTAAGACTTTGGATATAAAAGGTAACTTGGAAATAGGTCTATAATTCTTTGCTGGTTCTTTTACAAGATTGGTGGTGGCAGTAGAAGAAGCCTTTACCCACATCAAGCGCCACCAGGACGAGGAGGCGATCCCCTCTTCACCTAAACACCCTCGGGAGGTGATGGACCCCAGGGAGGCGGCCCAGGCCATCTTTGCCCCCATGGCGAGGGCCATGCAGAAGTACCTCCGCGCCACCAGGCAGCAGTCCTACCACAGCATGGAGAGCATCATCAACCACCTGCAGTTCTGCATCATGCACAACATGACCCCCAAGGTAAGTAGGGTAGTTTCAAGGTATTCATAAAGCATTTAAGAAAGAAATTAAAAATAATGATGTAATGTTGTAATGTAAAATTCATCTTTAACTTTGTTTATTGTGGGCTTCTTCTTGTTTTTTGGCAAATGACTAATAAAGTAACCATAACTGTAAAAAGCGTACAGAAAGAGCAATTAGACTTAATGGCATAGTAATGGTGAATAGTGATAAGGCAACACGATGACGTTATGGGAGGCAGACAAAGCAAGATCGGAACAAAACAAAAAACGATTTAAGAGGTGCTGGATTATTTACAAGATGTTATCATATGTTTATTATCAACATGATATCAATATTTCATTTTTAGATATCATAGTTATCATCAATACCGATATATATCGATATGCCCCTATTTTAAAGTTCAACCCTAAAAATGTACAGTCAGGTCCATAATCATTTGGACAATGATACAGTTGTCGTCATTTTGGCTCTGTACACCACCACAGTGGGTTTTAAATGAAACAATGAATACCTGCTTAAAGTGCAGACTCTCAGCTTTCATTTAAGGCTTTTTTCAAAAATGTAGTATGAACCGTGTAGGAATTACAACCATTTCTTCACACAGTCCCCCGACTTTAAGGGCTCATAAGTATTTGGACAAACTAACATAATCATCAATTAAACAGTCAGTTTTAATACTTGGTTGCAAATCCTTTACAGTCAATGACTGCCTGAAGTGTTGGACACATAGGCATCATCAGATGCTGGGTTTCTTCCCTGGTGATGCTCTGCCAGCCCTTTACTGCAGCCGTCTGCACTTCCTGCTTGTGTTTTGGGTGTTTTGCCCTCAGTTTTGGCTTCAGCAAGAGAAACGCATGCTCAGTTGGATTCAGGTCAGATGATATGACTTGGCCATTGCAGAACATTCCACTTCTTTGCCTTAAAAATGTCTTTGGTTGCTTTTGCAGTATGCTTCAGGTCAATGTCCATCTGCACTGTGAAGCATCGTCCAATGAGTTTTGAAGCATTTGGTTGAATCTGAGCAGATAATGGTGCCCCAAACACTTCAGCTTTCATCCTGCTGCTCTTGTAAGCAAGACAAGACTTCACTAGAATAAATACAGAGGGTTTATCACAAGATGCAAACCATTGGTTAGCCTTAAAAATGGAAGGCCAGATTAGAGTTTGTCAAAAACCATCTAAAAAGCCTGTACAGTTGTGGAACAGCATACTATGGACAGATAAAACAAAGATCAACTACCAGAATGATGGGAAGACAAGAGAAGGAAGAAGGGAAGGAACTGCTCATGATCCAAAGCACACCACCTCATCAGTGAAGCATGGTGGAGGTACTGTTATGTCATGGCCATGTATGGCTGCCAGTGGAACTGGTTCTCTTGTATTTATTGATGATGTGACTGCTGACAAGAGCAGCAGGATGAAAGCTGAAGTGTTTGGGGCACCATTATCTGCTCAGATTCAACCAAATGCTTCAAAACTCATTGGACGATGCTTCACAGTGCAGATGGACATTGACCTGAAGCATACTGCAAAAGCAACCAAAGACATTTTTAAGGCAAAGAAGTGGAATGTTCTGCAATGGCCAAGTCATATCATCTGACCTGAATCCAACTGAGCATGCGTTTCTCTTGCTGAAGCCAAAACTGAGGGCAAAACACCCAAAACACAAGCAGGAAGTGCAGACGGCTGCAGTAAAGGGCTGGCAGAGCATCACCAGGGAAGAAACCCAGCATCTGATGATGCCTATGTGTCCAACACTTCAGGCAGTCATTGACTGTAAAGGATTTGCAACCAAGTATTAAAACTGACTGTTTAATTGATGATTATGTTAGTTTGTCCAAATACTTATGAGCCCTTAAAGTTGGGGGACTGTGTGAAGAAATGGTTGTAATTCCTACACGGTTCATACTACATTTTTGAAAAAAGCCTTAAATGAAAGCTGAGAGTCTGCACTTTAAGCAGGTATTCATTGTTTCATTTAAAACCCATTGTGGTGGTGTACAGAGCCAAAATGACAACAACTGTATCATTGTCCAAATAATTATGGACCTGACTGTACTTCTGTTCATCCAAATAAGATAGTACGGTGTTTTTTTTTTTCCCATGAAAAACGATATATAACTCTACATCTTTGTCTCATTTAGTATGCACTGATCTATTAATAGGCAATTTACAATTTTTTTTTTCACAAATCACAATTTGCCTCACAGGGCTTTACAGCATACGACTAATGATGGCCAAATGAAGCCTCATGAACCAATTTCTTTATTTTCTGACCACACCAGATGGCGGTCTTGGTTTAAAGATAAAGGCTGAAGGACTGGCAATGAAGTGTGCTTTCAAACCTTTGTTGAACAGACAGTGCCATCTGGTGGCTTCAGAAAATAAAGACAGTGGTTCACGAGGCCTCATTTGGCCATCACTGCATACGACATCCCTCTGTCCTTAGGTCCCTCGCAGCGGATAAGGAAAAAAAGTTCACCCCTGGTTAACACTATTAGCGTTGTCAGCAGTCAAGTACTTTTAAATGAACACTTAAGTCAAGCTACCGCTATAGCTCAACTAAGCCATTGAATTGGACTACTGTCCTTGTCCCAGTGTACAAACACAGGAGGGGAAACAATTTATTGACCAAAGTATGTCCGACTCTGCTCCTATGGGGGGAAATATGCCCCCTTTCAACTTGTTAGTATTGGACCTTTTTCCGGTGGACCTGTTACCTCACAGACCAAACATTCGACAGATAATTTAGCTACGGTTAGCTAGTGGCTCACTGGTGAAACATAAACATGAACTGCGTCTCCTTGTACATTATTCACATTATTACCTCATCCAGTTATTTTTCTCCAATGTCATGTAAATGTACTGACTGTCACTTTTATTCAACATCGATAATAGAGTTAGCATCGTTAGCTGCTAGCTGCCATTTCAGCCACATCCATGTTGAGGAATGTGTCCAGATAGCTCATATACTCTTAATTTTGCATAGAGCCCCTTTAAGCTGTCATCTTGCCTGTTTACTTTAAACTGGCGTGAACAGAACAGTATCTGGTTAGAGCAGTAAACGTGACTGAATTTGGTTGAAAATCTGTTTTATCTGCAGCTCTAAAAGTTCTGCCATTTTTAAAGAAAATATTATGTCTCCAAACCAAATCAAACTTGTATTGTATCAGTGCAACTATTCATAAACTGACTTGCAAATATTCTTCCTGTGTGTGTCTCAGGCTTTCCTTGAGCGTTACCTCAGCCCAGGTCCCACCCTCCAATACCTGGACACCAGCAGGGGGCGCCAGTGGACACTAGTGAGTGAGGAGCCAGTGACTGCTGCTCTGCGTCAGGGCCAGGTCTTCTCACTCAGACGCCTGGACTTCTCCCTGGTCGTCACGGTGACGCCACTCCCCTTCCTGCACCTGGGCGAGGAGTTCGTCGATCCTAAAAGGCACAAATTTGTCATGAAGCTCCAGTCAGAGACGTCTGTGTAGGACGAGGGTGGTGAACTATAGTGCTGTTCATAAGCGTGACGCCCAAATGATGTGGCTATAACATCACAATAGTCAAGGCAACAGTAACACCCCATCACAGACTTTGTTCCTCAAATGTCATAAGATTAGACACTCAAAGTGCTGACTGTTAACTTCTGATGTTGTACTATAGACTGCTTCCAGTTTTCATGACACTGAAGTATTTGTGCTGCTTTTGGTGCTATTTCACTACACATTCAATGAAATAAGTGTTTTTGAGAAAAAAGTTGGTCCTTTGGTTAAAACAGTTACACTTAAATTTGATTTGATCCACATTTATTATTCAGGCAACAATTTTTCAATAGAATATATACCCATGCATGGTGTGGACTGTTTTTGGTAAATGTACCAAGCCTTCTGTGTGTGCACTGACCTTTAAAATGCACTATCAGACCTGACAGGCTTCACTTTAGCTCACTCATTGCCAGAGCTAATCTTAATTCTCGTTTCCCTTTTTACTTGAACTTCTTGTTTGGACTTTCAAAGCTACAAACGGGCAGAATCAGACATTTACTTAAAGGTTCTCTGGTCTTTTCTCGTCTTTTGGATGTTGATTGGATTCACTGGCTGAATCGAAGGGGGGTGAAACTGCCTTTAAATTGCTTCCCCTTTTTTTGATTCCACTGAATAGTGCACCGAGAAGTGGACACATACTTCCCACTGAAAGTATATAGTAAGATACACTGGATTGACTTTCAATGCACTGAGCATTTCATAAAATGCACTGCATTATTTCCTGCTCAGGTTTTGGTGAATCACTTCTCATTTCTGGAGAACTGAAAGAAATGTACTCCTGCACTGGGAGGAAATATAACTTTTGTTAGTACAATGTAAATACCAGTATACTGTATGTCCAATATCTCTGGTAGCTGATGTATTCACCTTTACATACGAGGTTTGAATTGGACTTAATGAGCCCCAACACAATACAGCCAGGCACCACCAATGTGCTTCTTTTTGGCAGCTTGATGTTTTTGATATTTTGCAAAGTGAGTGTGTGAATTTGTGTGTGTGGTTGGATCACAAAGTGGACAAAGTGGGCAACTGCCTCGTGGCCTGAGACCCTTAAGCCCCAGGTTCCCCTCATGTGCGTAATTTGATTAATTGCAAGTCTTCGACACCAATTCAATATGCTTAATTGGCCAATAAGGTCCAAGAAGGGCCGATTATGCCAGCGGTGCAGGACCATGTGTCAAATCTAGGGTGACGCGCTCACCAGTGGCCAGACATTGACCAACAGCCAACCATCAACTTAGTGTGTCAGGACCTATAGACGTACTGTAACAATGCCTCGGGGTAAAGTAGATGGTGGCAGCATGCAACCTCAAACGCAATGGTTGCAATCTGCCATAAAAAGTATAGAAGAAGAATGTATGCACAATTAAAGCAGGAAGTACCTTGAAGTTTCCCAAAATTTGTCCAGTTTGTGACCAAATATCTGCCAGATGTTTCCACCAGCCTCAGTTGTACTTTGTTTAAAGCTAATTAGCAAATGTCAGTAGCCTAAAAAAAAAAAGCATGTTTATACACTGAAGTAAGATGAACATGGTCGACACTACCTTTTAAGACAGGTCCTTCAATACCTAACCTTGTGGCCTTGTCCTGTAGAAGTGCCCTGAGTCAAAATCTACTTTTCAAGACCTTAAAAAAGTACTTCGCGATTTAGCATTGCACTTCCATGACACTGTTAGGCTCACGAGGGACAGTAAAACAAAAAAAAATTATTCCACACATTCTCCTTTCTGGTCAAAACATGTCGCCAGAATTACCCATAATGCAACTCGAGTGGGGACTAAGAACTTTTGCGAAGCCAATTTGAGAGTTTTATCAGTAGCACGGGGTAAAATCTCTCAGTAAGCGAGAGACTGAATCAGTGACCATATGCTAACAACAACAACTGTCACTTCCTGGTAGACAGCTGACAAACGATTTTAATTGAGATATGTAAAACTGGCAAACTTGGTTACTTCTGTTGTCATTTTCCCAACCGGTCTCACTCCCAACTCATCAAATACCAACGCTTGGAGAGTGGCCGTTGGCATCGCTACTGATGGTGAAACAAGGCACCCTTTGGCAGTGGTATGAGATGCACCGGGCGACGGCTTAGTGATGGCCAAGTGAAGCCTCATGAACCACTTTCTTTATTTTCTAATGCCACCAGATGGCACTCTTGGTTTAAAGATAAAGGCTGAAGGACTGGCAATGAAGTGTGCTTTCAAACCTTTGTTGAACAGACAGCGCCATCTGGTGGCTTCAGAAAATAGACAGTGGTTCATGAGGCCTCATTTGGCCATCACTAGGCAGCATTCTTTGAGGCTCTGTGCAACTGCTGTGGTATAAAGGCCGAGAAAGTCTGTAAAGGGCAGGTGGGAGCAGAGGTAGATTCTGTGTGAAACCAAAAGTCAGTGGAGCTATTTTTTATATTGCGCACAGAAGCTGTTGTAAAAAAACATTGTGATTCAGCCTATTGGCACGTCGTTTCCCATTAAGCATTCGATTTTTAGAGCTTGAGAAGACAAGCTGCGGTGCTCGCGTCTTTGTCCCTTGAAATGTCCCAGTTGCGCTGTCAGAGCAAGCCTGACAATATTACTAACCATCATACAATGCACTCTGCAAGACGGCAATCGAATTTGTGCAGGAAAACGTAGGTGCTGCTCAGCTCAAACAAGCCCAATTCCTCAAACAGCTAGCCTTCAGATGTCTTTCTACCTTTGTTAGACAGTCATGGGCTGGCTCGGCTTGGGTTTGGGCCATCAGCCCAGCACAGCAGGGATTTGCATCTCCATTACAAATGGGCTACCCGCTTGAAGGTGTGTCATAAGGAGCAGAGGGCTGATCCATGTCTTAATTTCCGCATTATTTTTGCTGCATGTGTTTTTCCACAGCAGGGCAGGTAAAAGAAGTTTATCTGTCAGAGGTGAGCTGTTGTAGAGGTGGAGTAAGAGCCTGTCTGCAGCTCTTCATAACATCTCACTGTGGCTGTTTCTGCTTTTAATCTTCCTCCTTGCGGTATTGGTAAGCTAGTTTTTATTGAAGAAAGGCAGCTAACAAAGTTCCACTAATTTGGTGGTAAACACGTTTCATTTCCTCTCGATTCTTCACAATAAAATTCCCCTGTTATTTTGTCATGTAAACGCTTTTATTGTGAAGAAGCAAAATAAGAAATGCAGGGTTTTCATCAGCAGTAACTTAACAAGACTCATGCATCCAAAGTACAAACCGGGACACAGGACAGAAACTAAACTCCAACTAAAGACGTTCAGTTAGAAGCTACAAAAATACTGAGAACTGAACACACAGAGACTTTTGAAAACGCCTGTCTCATTAGTCTCCCGCAGACAGGTGAGAAGTCAGTCCCGCACCACACACGCTTGTTTCAGGGGGGAAGAGGAGTCAACAAGGGGTTGGTTCAGTTGGCGAGACGTCACCGTTACCCACTTTAGAGTGGGCGTTTGTGCTTGTGGACCTACTCCAGAGACAGTCCACGGCACATCACGTCTAAACTGACGATAAAAAAAAAACAAATCGGCTTGACTCGGCGCGGCTAAAAAGTGGTCATGGAAAAAGGGTGCATGTCCTTACCTCAAAGTGACATCTCTTGAGGACGTTTCTCAGACTTCACACAGCTTCCTCTTTAGACAACGCAGTTGTATTGTCCAGTACTCACAAACAAACCCCGGCGCTTGCCCTTTAATTGCTTCAAGGTAACTGACACACAAAAAAAACAGTCCAAAACCCACAGATATTCAGTTTATTATCCAACATAGAAAGTCAACATATGTTAAGCCAGAACAGATGATTTGTGTGTGTGTGTGTGTGTGTGTGTGTGTGTTTGTTTTCCTTAAAAGAAATCCTAATTCATGAATAATCAAAATAGTTGCAGGTTCTGTTGATTAGCTAACTGATTAACAGACTAATCATTCCACTTTTAGAGTACCATAGTGCCATAAGTATTGGGGTCAACAGGGGTCCTTCAGCAGGTAAATCCAGCCATGGGTTGATCTGTGTGCACATTTTCTTGTGTCTTGTGACTCAAAGATATCTTTTGTACACTACAGCTAGATTGCCTTTCCACTCAGAAGCAGCTTATGTGTATATTTCATTGTGGTTTTCTAAGGTTGTATTTTCCTGTTTTCAAATGGATCACTTTGTTGTACTTGAGTAAGCTCCTAACACTTGTCTCTGAAGAGCATTGTCTTTAAAAGCGAGATTTATTGTTACACTGTGTTTTTTAGGACAGAGTTGTTTTTTTTAAATAAATATCTCACCCAAGCATTCGTCACATCTGTGTCACAAGTTGTCTAAAATTTGTCGTTATCAGGAAGCAACACTCAAGTGTGGGGGAGTATGGTTGTGGGTGTGAAGTCTAGGAGGATGTAAAAATTTCCAATGCTTTTTAACTATGTAGTAATCAACAGCTTGTACCTACAGGAATTGCTGTCCACTTAAGAAGAGAAAGTATGGTTTATATAAAACATAAATTATAGACGCTACACTACACACACAGTTTCAAAATTGACACTGATACGGGAAATGTACCCCAAAAGTACAGCTAGGGGTTTTTTTTGTTTTAGAATGAAAAATGTGGTGAGGGTAGACTCTAATCTCAAACCAGTTAGTCATTCCTGGAAGATACATGATCAGAAATTTTCAAAAAATAACTGATGCTTATTTGAGTATCTCTTTTGAAATTTGGGGTGATGAGCTGTCATGGGAAATTTAAAGCACGTGGCCAACGTCACCATGAAAAAGGAAGTAACATATAGTCTCCGCAGTCTGCGTTTCTATTAACCTAGAAACAATGAACCTTCAACTCCTGTTCACTCTTTCCCTGCAAGGTAGGTCCTGTTTTCTTTTACTAAAAACAATCAATGACCAGAAATTAAAACAAAACAAAACTCTGAAATATTTAAAATGACAGTTCAGGACAGAATTGGTTACTTCCTGACTCCCTGTGACAGAAATACGACTACTGTGGGAATGGGGCAGTAAAATAAAAAAAATAAACAAGCTAAATATAATGATATTCACTTAATTTTTAACCACTAATCAGTTAAAATGGCTTTCTTGGGTTTGCTTCAATGTTCTGTGTTAAAAGAAAGGGAAGGTTATTGGTTATTTTGTACATTTACGCACCAACAAACAAAAGCAGGAAGTATATACAGTACATGGTGTAAATAGCGTGATAAACTTCATATTTAATACCTCTCTGTACCTCACCAAGTATATTAATCATCTTCAAAATGAACTTACACCCCAACAAGTTTTCAGTGTTAACACACATTATACCATAAACTTTTTTTTACATGTATACTTACATATACTGTACCCAGAGAAAATGTCCAAATGATAGTTTGTAGTCATGGTAGTATTGTGGCTCTAGGAATGTCAGTGTTGGTCTGTCAGTCTGTCCACCCTAAGGTATGGTTACTTGGACTGCCATGACATTCTGTAGGCTACAGACATCGGAGGTGCCCAGAGGATGACTCGTGCTGACTTTGTTGATTCTCTGGCTTTTCAGTCATCTGCAGTCAATTTCAATACTTTCACTTTCAATAGCTTACATTTAATACATCACTTGGCTACTGTGTCAAACTGTGTGCCTCTGACAAGCATCTGTCAGGTTAGGAATAACAACTTGGAGGAAGCTACTGGTTGCATGGCAACTAGGGGCACATGACATGCAAGTGACATGGGAATTACATGATTTCCTTATGCTAGTGCTGTTAGCTAAAGTTGGTGATTTTTGTGGATAACTCGGAAGTTTCATTTGTAAGTGAGATATTAAATGGATGGACCTGCATTTTGTATAGCGCCTTTCTAGTCATCAAAGCGCTTTTTACACTATGAGTCACATTAACCCATTCACACACACACATTCATACACTGGTGGCCAAGGCTACCATACAAGGTGCCACCTGCTACTCAGTTGTTTTTTTTAACACACTCACACACCAATGGAACAGCCATCGGGAGCAATTTGGGGTTCAGTATCTTGCTCAAGGATACTTCGACATGTAGACTGGAGGAGCCCACGATCGAACCGCTGACCTTTCGATTGGTAGATGACCCGCTCTACCTCTAAGCCTGTTGTGGCTGTGGCTGAAGAAGATGCTTTGTTTCCGGTGGTCCTCAATCATGTGCTGGCTCCCTAAATTGGCACTCAGTTATCAAAATGTGAACAACCCCTGATAAAGTATATCATAAAAAGTCATAGTATAGTAAACAGATCGTACTGTAGCATGTCTTTTTAAAAAATCTAATTATTATTTGTCATAAAAATATTCTAAAAGTGTCATAATATAGTATGCCACAGAAAGCCCCCCCCCAAAACTGTCATAGTATGCAATAAAGAACTCTTACCATATTATGCCATAAAAAATGCCAGAGAAATCATTTAAACAAGTCATAGTGTAGAATGTCAGGAGAAAAAAAAATCATAAAATACTCATGACATAACATGACATGGAAAAAGTCATTTCAGAAAAATATTTTAAGAAGTCATACTAAAGTATGTCACAAAAATATCAGTAGTCATCAAAACTCATAGAATAGTATAGCATAAACAGACATAGTATGGTATGTCATGAAATAACATTAAAAAGAGAATAGTATGTCGTCATGAATCATGAAAAAAAGTCATAGTATACTATTAAAAGTTATGAAAAAACAACATAGTACAGTGTGTCATCAAATATCATTTAAAAAAAGTTGTAGTATGTCTTCAAAACTCATGTAAAAAAGTCACGGTATAGTATGTCTTCAAAAACCATGACAAAAAGTCATAGTGAAATATGACATCAAAAATCATTTTAAAAAAAAGTCATAGTATAGTATGTCATTCAAAATTGCATAAAAACTTCATGGTATAGTATGTTGTTTAAAAATGCATAAAAAAGTCATATTATAGTATGTCGTTCGAAATTGCATAAAAAAGTCTTAGTATAGCGTGTTGTTGAAAATTGCATAAAAAAGTCATAGTATAGTATGTCGTTCAAAATGGCATTAAAACGTCATAGTATAGTATGTTGTTCAAAATTGCATAAAAAAGTCATAGTATAGTAGGTTGTTTAAAAATGCATAAAAAGTCATAGTATAGTATGTTTTTCAAATCTGCACGAAAAAGTCATAGTATAGCATGTTGTTCAAAATTGCATGAAAACGTCATAGTATAGCATGTCGTTCAAAATT